CCGAGGAGTCTCGCTCCACATGAGATGGTTATTCAACTATCGGTTTCGGTAAAGAATTACTTTAGAATTGGTCATCGTACCACATTGGGTAGCTGGCTTTTGGGCCAAGCCAGTAACCTAAATGCCTTTTGCATGTCAAGCATATAAAGCTATTCTGCTCGAGCATAATATTTTCTTTTGTCTTCATGGAAATCTCGGGGGGATTCATGGATGCTATGATTTGGTTTTCGTGTTTTTCCTGAGTTCCTTTTGTCACGCAGGCAGAAAGTCTACATATATTTTTGAAAAAATATTAGCGATTTTAGGTGTTGATAGTAACTGTTCAAGAATATGCAAAAACCTTCTACTTACTAAATATGCATAAGTTTTGACCGATTAAAGTCTAGGTGACATTTAAATTATTTTGTTGATTTCAAATGATTCTAATCTTTTGGTCAATAATTTTTGGATTTCTCGGAAAAAATTGTTAAGTTTTGTTGAATATGCCATTTAACAGGCTTTATTTCGATTGGTTAATACCCAAAATGGTTGAGCAGCCGGTTTTAATGTGATGAGCGATAAGGATGAGTAGTGACGATGAGTTTTCCGAGAGTAACTGTCGCAGTCGGGTTACTGGAATTTGTGATGATTTCCATTTGCCTTTTGAACGTCTTTGTACAAAAGAGCTTACTCTCTCCAATCTGGTAAATGAGGAATCCGACATTTACAAAAAATCAATAGAGATACATCGCAATGAGACACTCGAGGCAGCAACTAAAGTGTATCAAGGTATAAAATGTCTACCCTGTTACTCATGTCGTGTTAGATCCATTGCTGCTGCACTCGTGGGATAACTTTAGACATGCTGCGGATCTACTGGCCGTAATGCACCGTAGGATAAAGCAACGAATGAATCGAGTCCTTGCAACAGCTTATGAGAGTGGTTCAGTAGCCTTTTCAAAAGACTTTCTCAATGAATTTGGAAGGATTCTGCGAAAGTCGAATAAGTTTGTTGCCAATAGAGTGCGTCTATCGGTCCCTGCATTCGTGTTTATGCTACGGGTGTTTGGACTTTCTCATATTGGTCTTTAGTGTTACTATTGTTATTTGTTATGGTTTCCTAACCTGCGCTCGTCGCGACTATTGTTAAGCTCGCGGCTATTCAGCGCATATTTATTTTCTATTCCTCTGAAGCGTGCGTTGTTATGTCTGCAATTATCCTGCGTAGACTTATTTGTAGACATTGCCCGCATTTGCGTCCATAGGAATTCCATACCTATTTTATTGGTTATTGGTGGATTTTGTCTTTTGCGCAATGTATTCCACTCATTTTTAATTTCTACTTAGCCCCTACCGAAAGGTATGCTGGATCCACTTTTAATGGCACAATCTGATCCACCTCGTGGAGCTTTCAAAAGAAAAAGGCGAATCTTGCGTATTCGGCGTCAACATCGGTCTTTCCAAGCTAAGAACACTGTCATCGACTCGAGGTCATCTTCTGGACGTCATTTAAGCGATAATATCCCACCAGCGCCAGAAATGAGTCGCTTATCTGAGGAGGAGGTGTACAGGCAGTCTAGATCTCCTCTGTCGCCTCCGGTGCACTCTTCAATGACTCCCGAGGATTTTTGCAGTTGTAGTAGCCGCAGCAGTAGCTCATCATCATCTCGAACTTCGATTCGTTCGTCCCCATCGTCTTCGTCATCCTCATCGGACGCTGATCATATCTAGACCAAACCTGGCTTTCATTGCGTCGTCTATTTTTTATCCCCCTTATCAAATAACGTACTCCTTGGAACCTACTTTGGAAAAAGTTACTTTTAGGTTGCATATAGGCGGTGTACAGGTGTGCTTTGTGACGCAGGCACCTGGGTTTTAGCTCGATGGGTGAGGCTATCTTACGTCGTCGTGTTTGCGACCACCGCCGAGCTGCTGTGGTTTAGGTGGAGTTGGCTAGCGACGCTCCCCTTGGGTGAGGCGGTCGCGTCGGCTTTGGGGTCGGTGGCCCCAGGGGTGGGCCCGGTTTCGGGCTGATGTATAAGGCGTTGTCTTGCTCACTGTGGGTCTGGCTTTTTTTAGCAAAGAGGATTATAATGGTCTGGAAGTGATTTAAAGTAACAGCATTAAGGGTGAAGTAAAGTGTCCTTTGATATTGAGGACTTTAATGCTGTTGGTGCTGCGTGGAATTGGCAACCAATGCAGGGGAAAAGAAAATGTTTTTCCATACCAAGCAACTTTCAGGCCAAACCTGAGAGACATCGTATTGTTATTTGTTTTAAATAACCAATACATTTTTCCTTAAAGGCCGCTCTTAGTTGTTTAAAGCATTTAGTTTTGTGCGCTATTGGCTGTTTGACTTGTTTCGTGCTCCTCCCTGCGCCCCTTTTATATTTGATATTTTGACGTGTATTCTCAACATTCTCCTGTAAGTTACGTAGTCCTCGACCCACCAAATTTCACCCTATCGTACTATTGTGTTTTCAGGCGTGCAAGTCATAAAAGCTCGTGACATCTAGCAATTATTCTTTTCCAATCATATCGAAAAGGCTCATTTATACGAAGTTTTAATTGCTGTCATGGATCAAATTTTTCTCACATCCTATCAACGGCTTCTGCTCCCTTGTCTTTTATGAAGCGACATCAAGTTCTACTCCATCTCTAGATAAGAGACTTCGAATGTGTTTAGAATTTTTCCCTCCGTGTTACTTAACATTTCATAACACATTATGGAAAGTTGAATGAGATGCAGTTTTCCTGTACATGATGAGCTTTTTATATTCATTAAATAGTTTCACTTTGGTTAAATAGCATTTTGTCCCTAATCTGGCGTATTAAATTTCAGAGCTTGTCCTCTCAGACTTTTATGCCCTTTTGAGGGATTAGGTGGAGTACACTTGCTGCAACAATTTCTTGGATTGTTTGGAATCGGATGGTACATGCCTACTTTACCATTGGAAATAATTGCTTTAGCCCTTTTCTTTAGCTAAACTATCCGTTTTTCATATTGAGCAGCTAAATTTCAATTGAAGGCGCTTTTCTCTTTTTTAAGCCCTGTAGTAAAATGGGAAGAAAGAAAATCGATATCAAAAAAATTAGCGACGAAAAGACACTTCTTGTTACTTTTGCGAAACGGAAAGTGGGCCTTTTTAACAAGGCTTTTGAGCTGAGTGAACTATGTGAATGCAGGGTGGCAATCCTCATCCTCACTAACAAGAACCGCATGCACAAGTTCGCCAGTCATGACCTAAGTAGCGTCGTGAAGCAATACAATGATCGACCAAATCATGGAGAGCTCATGACTAGCCAGGATATTATCGAGGTATTCATTTTCCTATTTCATGATCATATTTTTTACAGTGACTCGTCAAATAATGTTCCGCTAGTGTCCTTAAGCTCACATTTCACCCAATTTTCACTCATGATTCTATTTTGATTTTTCGTAAGTGACGTTTTGAAAATTGCAAGCACGAGATGTTTTAACGCTTTCCTTCTAGGCTTTTTAGCCAAGGTAACTATGTTAGTCCATATTCAATATGTGAAATATATTAGGCGGTTTTTGTCGTTGTTTGGCAAGTAATATCCTTCTCTAAGGCATTTTGAACCCTAACCAATGTCGGTAGCGTTGATCGGTTCTTGCATTTTTAGCGTCGCAAAAAGAAGAAACAGTCAAAATCCTCGCAATCAGAGGACAGGCCGTTGAATCAACAAAACTTATCAAACTGTGATTGTGGGACTAGTGAATACGACGGAGGGATGGATGACGAATCACTGGTTCCTACAGCTACCTCTACCAATACCACTGCTATAACTGCTCCTGTGGATTATGATGGTCAATTAGCTCAACTTGGACTTGCTCAGCACGATGTAAGACCTCCCTTGAAGTCATTCTATCCAGCAGACGACACCGGAGAAGCGACGGATGTTTTTCAGGTGAGTGCAAAGTTATAGTCCACTTATAACTCCCACTTTACTTCTTCGCTTTGGCTTCCTTAATGGGGCTACATAACAAGCTGCGTGGATTTTGCTATTCTGGACAGAATATTTTACAGACGACTGAACAAGGAATCAGTCGAATTTCTCCTGATTGGTAAGCGTCAAATCCCTGGAGCTTTATAGCCCAGGAACTTGTAATGTGACAGTTCATACTAATCAGATGGCCGTGTACCTCGAATTGTATGCGTATTAGCTGGTGTTGCATTTTGAATCTGTGTTGTGTGCAGATAGATTGATTCCTTGCAATCTGTGGGTGTGAATCGACAGTATGACACAATTACTACACTACATATTTTCTTGTTGATAGTAACAGTAGAATTCTATTTGCTGCCTGTTTGTTATCTCCATCTGTTCGTTACCATAGGATTTTTATTAGTTCTTACCCTTCTCTGTTCTTGACCCATACTGGTGTGCAGTTTGTGAAACTGGAAAAGTAACCCAAATGGTGATCTTAAAACTAATATGCGCTTTAAGTTCCTGATCAGCTTGAGTATTGGATGCTGATCGGTCTAACGTCTCCATTACTGATTTTAGAGTCGAGTAGTTTAACCAAGTATGCACATTCATCTATGTATTAATTCGCTCTCTATAGACCAACCCAGACTGTGGTTCGTTTCTCTGAAATAAATATGCTGATATTAATTGGGGGTTGGCACGCTCGTATGTCGCTGTTATTCATGTACTTGTAGCACACCTGTGCGAGTCTTGATGAATTCTGAGAAGCAATGTTTTGTCAGTCTGAAGTATAGTTATTAATGGAAACTCCTATTTCGTTGATTGCGTTACCGGAGCTGAAGCAATCAATATGCAAGATAATATTTTTTTATGATCACTGCTCACAGATGGAAAATAAAACGGACTTTTCTCTATTTTAGCATCATGCAAATAACTACGCCCAGCATTATGGTAAGTTATCTGCATTGACTTTAGTCTCTGAAAATATAAATTCGAGCGAATCCTAGAACACGCGAATACTTCAATATACGCAGGCACTATTTCCCCTCTTTTCTTATTTCTGATTAAATATTTCTTATTTACTCTCTAGGAACTAGGGATTGATCATTACTCATACGCTTGCGACAAACAGAATCAGATTAACCGCAACGTCACATACCTGAGCCATAAAAGTCGATGAAATGTATTCTCTACTAGTCTTTGTTTCCTTTATAGTAGAGGCAATTTAGCTTCTCATGGATTTCTTTGTTCTACTTACCACTCGAACTCATACTTCTGGCCGTTGGTGGATGTGGTAACGCCTTGCATAGTTTCGAAAAGGCTCGTGCTTGAACACTTGGTTGCACTCACTTCACTTGGCCCAACATTGTTTATTGGTCATTTGAAGTTTTAGGTATTTTTTGGAGTGAAGGAAGTTTTAATAGTGTTTTCACATTGACCTACTTCTATGAAGTATGTGTGCTTGATGTGGTAGATTTGTGGTTTTTTTTCACTGTATTTTTTGTCCTCCAAAGCAACTCATTATTTGTCAATCAAACTGTTTCCAAATTATAAAGCATACGTGCTGTACTAATGAGTCTCATTGTGTTTGGTAGTACTATGCTGGAAAATAAAGTAGTTTTAATTTATGACTCAGGCACAAACACCTCATGGTTAGTTTTTTTTCATTCATTTTGCTTTGTTTTGTCGCGGTTGATCTTTAAAACTGCTTTAAACTATGGGGATTTCTGCTGAATTTTGGTTTCACTGCGCCCTAGCACCAGATAGTCTTCTTTTTTTACCACCAGAATGTACCGTCGGGGCAGTTGAGTCTACATCGCCATTGAAAATGGAGACGGATAGGGAGCTCAACACAGAAGGTACAAAGCCTGTGCTGCCTACTGATTTGACTCTCACTGGGGCTGCATCGATATCCGACACGTTGGCCAAAAAACACCCTAGAGAGGTCAGTTTTTACCGGGGGAACTTACAGCAGTTTTTTTTATGGGTGATTTTTGGGAATCATTCCTAACATAAAAAGTAATCAGCCGTTTTTTGTGAGTAATTCGTTGGGCATGGTGAAACTTTAGCGGAATTGTTGAAAGAATATCTTGTATTCCTACAAAAAACGCGTAAAAGTGTACTTTTGAGCTTGTCTTAATGCAGCGGAGTGGGCGGTTGTATTTAAAAGTTGATATACATCTCTTGCTGCCTAATATTCCTGCCCCCAGGAGGGCGCAGCTAAAGCGGCCACCAAAACGCCACAAATCATGTGTTATCCATGTACACACGTCGATGCCCATGCGGATCTGAAAGTTTATCTTATTCGACTTTGTTTTCATGCTCTGCGTTCTGCCTATGAACAATCTTTTACTCTTGGGGCTTTTTCTTCTATCCCTTGCCTTCGTTCATTTTGTTGCATCCAGCATAGCGGTCCCTTCACCCTTTGAAGACAACAAAAGTATCTGGTCTGCAATCTTAAATAAAGTGGAGATCTCTATTTCATAATCCTGAACGTTTTTCACAATTACACGGATTATAAAAGCTCTTATGTAATCAGTCAGAGACGATTTTGTCATTGAAATTATTGCCATAGGAAGAAATCGTGTCATACATTCCCTTGTCTATTCCAAGTAAATGCTCCGTTGTTATAATCAGCTCTAACTGATGTTAGCGAAAAACGTTTTCCACCTGGCTCCTTCTGTTTTGACTTTAATTCTATTTTTGTCTATGTGATTTACCCGTGACTTCGACAAAATGCGATCAAATCAAATTTTTGGCAAGGTTTTACATCGGGTGATGTCACTTTCCTTTTGGCAATGCTAGTATTTTCCCTTATTTTTTGTTAAAAAAGTAATGTCATAGTTTTGCATCTAAATGTTAAGAATCAATTTTACTATCTTATTGCGTTTCAGGCACGCGTCTGAATTTGCTCAACAGTTTATTTGACAGAAAATTCCACATTTTTTTCCCTAGCGTCTGAATCTGGGAACTTTGCGTACAAACCGACCACCTGCCTTTGGAGATGGGTGCAAGTCCTTCGATCCGACTATCTCATCTCCTCTTCCCACTAACAAAGGAAGTGAGCAGTAGCTTTGATTATTTGTTGTTAGTTTCCTTCTTCGTTGAATGCTTTGGAGTCTTATCTTTGTTTCGTTTTGGAAATCCATCCCCAAATTATTATGTCAGGAATCATTAGCTTAAATTTTAGCACACATGTGTAGGCATTTGTATTCCATTCAACTTTTGAGATCTGTTGATTCATGTCGCGTTATTTGCCATTATTAATATTTCTAAACGTCACAATCTCCGTGCACTTCCATTTTTTACTTGCAAAGCTTCTTTTTCTACTTTTACGTATCATCCTGAAGGAATGACATTAGTCGTTCGGGGCAGTACCACAACGGATTCGGAACTCTGCACGCCAGAACCGCCTCCAAGACTAACACCGGTTATAATTTTGGATAGTCCTGACTTACATCTGGGGTGGAGACATGTGAATGCTGGTCCGACATCTTTGTCATCTTCTGAAGAGTTAAGCTCGACGAAGTCGACCAGTAGTGTTTTCAAAGGTATGTTCTCCTCATTGCACATTCAATTTCTGTTGGCAAAGTTCTCTGAGCCAAATAAGTTCCTCAAGTGATGTACTTATAAAAGAGAAGTTGGTTCGCAATAAATGGGATCTGTGTTCAGGCCCTTAAATTAGATTTCTTTTTTTTTCCCTAGGAGCTTTCACTCGAGTGGATGAATCAAATCAAAGATGTCTAATAACTCCTGATTCCGAGCAATTGACGATGGCTCCCTTTACGTAGTTAGGTGAATTTCTCTTTTTTTTTAACGTTGCTTGAACTCAAGTCAACAGTTAATCCCTTTATTCTCTTCGTGTTTTCACTCTTTGATGAGCTTTTCCGACCTTCCATCCGTGAATTAAGCTGTGTTGACTAATACCTCTTTGTGATTGTCAAAAGAGGTTTTTAAATCATGCAAAACAAAGTTCAAACATCCTCACAAGTGATAGTGAAATTATCCATCAAGAACTGCTTCTATTGTAACAAGTTTTAAAATTGTGGTCAGTGAAGCTCCAACAAAACTTTTTGTGGACTAAGTGAACATTACCGATGCCATTGTCCCGTATTGATTCTTTATTTCTTCTTTTCATCCAGAAAGGTCTGACCTCGGAGAACATTGACAAAGTGTACATCTCAGCATTGGTCCAATTCAATTATGGCGCCATTATTTTTTTCTGATGACATGCCCTTTGTTTTTATATTGTGTCTTTCTAGATGTCAATGTAGATGGCATAGGACATTGTCCTTGAAATTTGGCCAACGCCTTCCCTCTACTCTCCCTCCTTCCCCTTAACCCATGCCTCATCCCGATTATGCGCTTCTTTTACGCCTCTTGCTTTGCACTTGCATATTGTGCCGATTTCATGATTGCGGCAACTCGAAACTTGGGGTATTTGCTTTCTTGAATTAGTGAATGCGTGGGTCCAATATCCTGTTTACATTTATCAAGCTTCAGCGCGCCTTGATCAGTGGTAAACAAAGTGGCCGTTTTGACGTTCGGTTACTTTAAATACGTGATTTCGCTCGGAGGACATTTGATACCGTAAATCGGTAGTTACCTGAAGTCGGCATTGTCAGAGTTATCAATGCCTTTGTAGATAACTGGTATTCAAATCGACGGAGCATCGTCACTTGCATCACAAATTATGGCATTTGAAGCGAGATGTGGTTAGAGCTGATATCGTGTCTTTGTGCCTGCATTGGCTAGCTTCGGTTAACTGAGGCCTCAATGGTAGTTCTGGCATGAATTGCGGAAGTCGATAGGGGCATGCGGGCCAAGTGCATCTCGTACACGGTGATGGGATTTTGCTAAAATGGTCCAGTCGTCAAGTCAAACCTGGTTGGTAATGCGGACTACGAAACAGACATTGGGAAACAGTTGCAGCCACTTGTGCGCGTGTATACGTGGAAATTTCCAGCTATCTGTCAGTACGCATTTGAAAAGCTACTTTGTGGCAAGGTGATTAGGAGTGTCGAAGAGGAGCGAGGTTTACGAGGCTATGGTTTATGAAACGGGCTCCGATTACTTAGGAAGTCAGTTAATTTATCTAAGAACTTTTGACTTCTACCGAATCTGAAAGTTGTCAGTATCCAAGGTGTTGTAGTTCTTTTTATATCGCATTGAAATCTCCAATCTTGTACATATGAATGCTGTGTGACATGGTTGTGCAGGGCAAGATAGCTTCATCACCGCAGTAGTTCCGAGCTGGGGGGTATAGATCCACCTAATGAACGGCGAAGAAGACTGGTGGCAAGGAGGAGTTGAAATGATTTTTATCTTATAATTTATGAAAGGTTTACAGTTTAAATGAGCCCTCGTTTTCCACTGAGGAATTAAACAATAGACCAGGAGATACTTTTAACTTAAAGGAAGTACATGGGATACTGTCTTCGATTTGTGTGTATGAAGGCCTGATTGTATAGCAAAAATTTCAGTTACCTACAAAGCCTCAAGCACAACCTTAATTGACAAAAAGACAATCCGGGAGGTTCCTATGTGCCGCAATAGCATGTGAGCAGCTGCCTGTTATACACAGTTGCCACACCCAGTCTCGCAGTGAGAAGCTTCATTCATTAAGCAAGGTGTTTTGTAACACTCCGATCCATCGAAATATGCTGAAAGCCAGAGGCTTTAAAAACCCTATGACCAACTTTTTTGATAAACTACTCCATTGATTACGAAGTTCTGTATCGAGATACAGATTACTCGTAAATGCAGAGAAAAGAACCAAAAGATGTTAATTAAGTTTTAGTTTTGCATAGACGAAACCGTTCTTTTACAGCCCGAATAAGTTTTGAGCTTGACAGTAAGCATTTACAATTTTTCACGCTGATGATATGTTCAGCTAATAAACGCATATCTTAATGAAAACCCACAACTATAATTTACATATGCACGGCATTAACGGCAGCATTGACCTGTCAGATTTAGGCGAAACATGGTCCATACAAACTATAATAGCGGTCATAGCAAAATAAATGTGTTAGTTGGAAATAAAGGCAAAGATACGCAGATGATTCACATATTTCTCAGTCCGGTCACAGACTAAGAATGTCATCGTAAGCCTATCAAAGCTTGTTACTTAAACTTATTTCAGTAGTGCATATGTGCTGTAAGTAATTCGCAAGCGTGAATGGCGTTGACTTGGTTGTATTTATTAACAAGAAAAATGCAATACTGACTTGCGTTTTTTGTTATTTTTGTTATATTAAATCAGTATAAACCCATGTGAATGCCTAAAAAGCTTGTTCAAATAAGTTAAACTCCCAAATTCCAAATTGCATTAATCCAACATGCACAAATAGCGATTAAGAAAATATCCAAATTCTCTTACACATGGGTGAAGTCTTTTAAAAAATATTCAAGGTGTTAACATCAAGGCTTATGATCAGAGTTTTACCGTATTTACCATTCACAGGTCACACCCGTCGGCTGAACTCCTAAGGGATATTCATTTAGAGACGAGTTTCAAGTTGAAATGAGATTTTCTAATTCGATTTCGCGATGATATTTGATATCCCTTAGCCATCTCTGCTTTAGATAATCTTCATAAGTATCTTAGTTGTCCATGTATCTCGACGATGTCTGTGCATTTTGCTTTAGTTAAAATCCAAGTGTATTCAAGCAGATACTCTCCGTTCAAATTACTTGCTTCAAACTTTATCAAACACCACGAAAGATTAGGCTAAATTAAAGCTATCCAAATAAATGTCAGTGGATTTTAAAAACATAACCGCGCACTTTTATGCGTGATTGCCAATAGAATGAATGCAGTAATTGTAAAATTAAGCAAAGTACCAATATAAAATTAGTATTTTATCCATAACCAAAAGGATCAATATGGGTCACATTCATAAACTGAGGGAATACGAGTGAGGTCGATGCTGTGCATAAAATGGAATGATACACGTGGGAGCATTTTAAAATTTCATCCTATATTTACTACGGTGATCTTAAGCGAAATCGGCAAAGGGCGAAATTTTAAATAATAATAAGCTTATGAGAGTGGATGATATCTTAGATGATGAATCCCAGTAAAGAACCCAATAAGATAGCAAAATTTGCTTTAAAATCTGCCGATTAAATAGCTGTGGCCCGCCAATAAGTGGATTTGCTGGTGAACTAATAGACTCATATAACTGTTAAATGATGACCTCCAAACAACTCCCAACCACAACTCCCCTTGTAAATATTCGAACTGGCTCTTTTTCACCGAAAAAACAACCATTCAGCCTCCCTACTTTATTAGAACCATTAGATGAAGCGGCTACAAATTACGCAGATTGATAGACTTGATTAATTACTCTTTTTTAAGAAGACGCTAGTAATGAGAAGATTTGCTTTGACAACTAAGGGTCTGCTCCCTATTTTTACATCCTCCCTGGAGGATAAAGTAAAATATCTTAAATATTAGTTTAAATAAAGGTATGTAATTTTCTGGTTTCAATTTTTTTGTTTTTATGCTCTTAGCCATATTGGAGTATCGCAATTCTCAAATGCATAAATCTATGCCCAGCCCAGAGGCGAACAGGGGAAGATTGCCTCCATCAGCGCAGGCATTGACATTACGTTGTGCTTGGACCGAGATTAACATCAATAGGCATGAACACATGAATAAATGAATAAATGTAAATATTATACCAACTTCTTCCTGTTTCGCCAATCAGGTTGACGGTTCATAAGTGACCGAAAATATGATGTGCCTGCAAGATACAGTGAGGAATTGGCCTAAAGTTATGCTTTGATTCAAACTGCGAATTAACAGGATAAATATCTCCTAGGCGGCATTGCCACAAATCTTCATTCAGTGAATAATGTTAGCAGATAAATCATTTTTTGCCAAATCACACCTTATAGCTGTCCACAGATACATCATCCATTTTGAAAAGCCATATTCATCTTCATTAATATTTTAGACCCATTGCACCTTACAATCAAAAACTAGCATTTAATGGTTTTAACCACTTTTAATAACCCTATTTACCATGTTTGTACTGCAACATGTGAAGTAGACGAAAAATTGCTTTGAGAGAGAAATCCGCCCAGAATCAAGATTTAGCGGTTCAGTTAAATTCTTTTAACCTGTACCACACACGATTTGACGATAACTAAAACACTCAAGGTTTAGAGCCAGCAATAAACGGTCTAACATATCTTTCATCTTAGGCACAAAAGTCCGGAGACAAGCGACCAACTCGAGCAGGGCTGCGCATCCACACGTTTATTCAAATTAACAAGCAAAACCCAAAGTGTGATTGTAACAAAATTTGGCAGTGGATGACAAAATGAGAGCAATCTGCTTTGACCACTTGTGTAGGACGAGGCTTTTGAATCTCCTCTTCCCTGGCCCTCATACCCTTTGAACACACAGGTTGATTTGGTTTTGTCATGTTTATTGGATACAGTAAGTAGAGAGAGCGGGTACAAGTTCAGGGAGGCTAGGAAGAGGAGCCTTTCTCCAGGCCGCTAGACGTTGACTTCTCAGTCGCGAGGTTCGAATCGTATGCCCGCCTCCTCCCTGAAAGAAACATTTAAACAACATAAGCAGTACACTTGCAGCTATTGATGTGCAGAGCTCTATTAACTTTCACAGACACCTGAACGTCACACTCATTGATTAGCTGTTAGCAGACCTACAGGAAGTAAGCTTCGATGCTACAAAACATTACTAACAAATAGACGTTTAAATTTTCCAGTTTTAAAGCACTTGACACATGTATGAGGCAGTAATGGGGACCGAATCCATCCGATCATGCCAGAAACACTTAATTTCACGAATTTGCAATGGTCTCCTGGTTGTTATAGGCTTAGATGATGCCTACACGACTTAATTAGTATGTTATTTAAATTTTCAAAAGTGTGATGTAACGTTGTACAGGTTTGAGCCCTTTGTTGAGTGGTTTACACTCATTTTGATGGGAAAATGCAGCTCGCTTGCAAATTCGGTTGTACTGGGATGGCGGATCCAGTAGATAGTGCCTTGACTTGCTATCCCGATGACGCATTTTTATGTAAAAATGTCAACCATTTTTTCCCAACAAAAATGTGTTTCATTTTTGCTTTTTTTATGCTAATTACCAATCTAAAACAATAGTAAAGGTGCCTTTTTGGCAGCTTCCACATAGTAAATATTAGGAAGTTGTGGTGTGGGTTAAAAGCCGCAGCATCAGTGCTTGAAGCGATGTGCAAAGGGGATCATAGGTAATGGACTCCTTTACCCTGAAACATTGCTATGGAACGCAGTGTTTGCATAAAGGGTGACCGTATCTGGAGTAACTGAGCCGCAACTTAATCATGTGGTGTTTTGAAAAACCATATTAGATTTACACTTTGTTCTGATTTATCGAATGATGATTAATTTACCCTTTTTGTTTTCTGCAGAAACGATAGGTGCCACGCCTAGGCAATGACTAAGTGAGGTAAGGTTACATTCTTACTGATGGAGCAATATCTGCATCCCATAAATTTCCTTCTAGCCAGATGGAGGAAAACTTAAGTAAAACTTTGATAGTGGTGTCAGGGCACTTGCCCTTACTTTTATTACATTTCGCCGACGAATCGTTCAGATTTTTAATTTTATTTTCATTGACTTATAGGTACGTGAACGGATGCACACCAACACCTTGTGCCTTCGGCAGTTGGGCCTGAAGTGCATGTCAAGGAATATTTCAGTATTTTCGTGTCAGTTTTTCAGTGACATATCCGCGTGGTTTTTATTAAAATGTGTTTCCAAATGTATTGCGGTACCCTTTGAGGAAGCTATGGCATTGGATTTGCTTGACAAAAAGTAGTTACTCGTTTGCGTAATCTGGACCTCTACTTATCAGTTTTAGTTGTAGAAGCTTACCGCTATAGAGCTTGACAGACTGATCCCAAAGAAAGTATTAATACGTCCCTCCATTCATCATGGGTCGCACTAAGCATTAAAGCAACCAAAAGAGCAGCTTTAAAAAAATAAAAGTCTCCAGTAAAGGAATCGTTGGCAATATGCTGCGCGTGGGTAGATAGCAACTTTAGTTGGAATGAATGCCAGTGCATCTTATTTGCAAAGAAAGCAGATATTCTACTATTCATAACTGCCTCTTCACTTTTCCTTAGCCAATTCTAAGCATCCATAAATCCCTACCAAAGCACCAACTCTGCATCGGATGGCATGTTAAAATGATTCCATGCTGGTCGTAATCTTTTGATGACGTCTTTTTGGCACATGGGTTTTTTTGGATGAGATGACACAATTAAGCCAAATTAGCATGGATGCGGCTTTTACAAAATATTTTGTACCATAAAATACTATTTTTAAGTGCCTTTCTGCTTTTATCGATATTCTGCCTAATGAACATCTTTGTCCTCTTCACCTTTCATCATTTTATGATCAAAGTAAAGGGACACTATCCAAAAAGCATGTATCTTTTTCAAACAAACACGTGTTTACGACAGTGCTGCACTTAATGCAACCAACCAAAGGATAAGAACCTAAACTCACTTCAGGGAGACTGAGCACCTTAGGATAACCTTAATTTATGCTATGTAGGCGTGGTATAAGAGATAAGTTATTTTCCATACTTTATGTAGAGCCAAAGAGTATTCAATTCGATTGCTGTCAATCGCATTCATTAGGTCCTGAATATTTCAAGGAATAATCCACTGTGGAAGTTATTATTGATGATTATGTAATTGCTAAAATAGGGCCTAGATATTAACTTTATTGGCAGACAATAAACTTGTGCAGCTAATGAGGCACAACTACAACAAAAGGAGTGCCTCTTTAATAGTTGCCATTAGCTATTATTTCCGGTACTTAATCCAGATTTGGCTTTATTTACTACTTAGCATCACTTAGGCTAGTGCCTGTAGGAATAGTAACAGTATTACACTATTTAAATAGCATCTCACTATAATACACAGTTGCATGAATACGCTGGTAACCTATTTTAAATGCTAGAATGCCTCCAATTAGCTACAAATCCTTGTTTCTGTCAGAGTCTCGCCTATTCATGCTCGTCAGTTCACTGAGAACATCTGCAAGCCATTGGGCGGTTTGTCCAGATAACATCAATAAGAAGTTCGAAAAATCCAGATCAGCCACTGCTCTTACTAGATAAATTCGTAATTTTCGAATCTGAAATATTTTCCGATTTAGCGATCGGAAACGAATTTTATTTCACAAAATTGGAAATAAGGCATTCTCACATTGATTTGTACTAGGGCTTTTTTGCAGCTAACTCTGTGAGCTTTCCAATTAGTTTGCAGATATTTTATGATTGTTACTGCCCATTTCACATATTGGCTGTCTTGTCCTGCCAATGAATATTTAGCTGATGACGGATTGGATACCACGTGGCCAGCATCCTATTCGTTTGATGTGACCTTAGTCATTGGTCTGTTAATCCGAGGGAATGGCAGATCAATGCAGAAAAGCAATTTCCTATACTGGTGGATTAGAGAAATGTTCAAAAACACTGACGGATTTTACGTAGGAAGTGATAGGCTTGAATGGAATAAGTCCTAAAAACATGCTGCTAGATACTTTGGCAACGGAGTCGGAAGAGTACCCTAGCGTTGTTCGGCGGACCTCGCTACATGGAAAGGCACTGGAAGTAATGTTGAGTCGAAAGGAATCCTTTTATCGAAAACATCAGGCTATCACCTACAATTTTCTTGAACGGCCCAAAACAAAAAAAGCAATGATATACCATTCATTTGTGTAAGTCTTAACCGACATAAAACCATATTCAATGCAGTTGCTTACAACCATTTCTTTCCTAATTTTTTCGAAATCTAGTGCTGCCATTAAATATATCAGCAGATTTCCATTTTTTTCATAAAATTAGCAATAGGGGTAAAAAGAGGGTTTTAATAAAAAGTACAAAATAATTCTAGGGCACTAGTTGAATTTATTTTTCTGCCATTAAAAGCACCAACTCTCGCCCTAAGACATGTTTGGGTAAGAGAGGTCTAGATTAAACACATTAACTTTAAAGAAGCCTAAATTCATTAAAACAGGTGTAACTTGAACCCGTTAATATGTAAGTGTATCTTCCCCTTCTTATGGATTCAGAGTAATTGGGTTTTTTGACAGCATAATTTATTTTTGCATACTGAATCGTTATAAAATCTAGGAGAGGGATCTATAATGAAATGTATATTTCACCTTGATTGTTTTTAACCTTATATTTATGGGTAATTTGTGCAGGCTTTTCATTTTATATGCCAAATTTTCATGAAGTAGGATTTGGAGGATGTAGCGGAAAATCTAGAGTTATTATTTTTGGTAGGTTATGCCACCACTTTGATGCTACTCACTAAAGGATGCCTTAGAAACCTGGTTGATTTAGTGTTTCATTTTCTTCCCGGAAAATGTGCTTACTAATGACAGGATTTAAAAGAATTTTCCCTACTTTGCTGCTTACTGAGATAGAATTTATTTCCTTCATGAGACCCTTCATATTTGCATAAGTATTATTCCAAATATGCAACACAAATTTTTGTACCTGTTCCTCGACTCTTAAGCATATCCTTGCTTTTTATCGGTTTACTTACAGCATTGCTATTTAATGAGCTTAGGATAACCTCTTATATTAATGTTGCTGTTAAAGAGATTGTAATACTAATTTAGGCTTGGTTGTTCACAGGGCAATCAGTTCAAATGTTGTTTAGTCGTGTAGAGACATATTTGGAAAAACTACGATCCAACAGCTTGCCTTGAGATTTTTCTTTCAATTCGACGATTGCTCGCGCCTGTTCATCCTTTTGCCGCGATGCAAACACTGGTAGGCAGCCTAAAGCAAACTTTTCCTCAAATTTCCTTATAACGGAAAAGATTTTTTAATGGGGTCGGAATATAGGACGAGATCAAAATCACCAGACCTTATACACAGGCATTCGAACTCACTTTAAAATTTAAGTGATTTTCCACTGTGCTGAAGATGCCAAATATGTCGATTTCAGTACAAGTTAACACTTACAAATGTGTGATCATAATGCATATAGAGTTTGCCTGTTTACCCTTTTGTTCATTAAAAACCCTCTCATTATACCATGGTTAACTTGAAATGATGCATACTTCATATTCCTTGAGAATGCTGCTTGGTTTCTCAGGCTCTCACATTAACTTTATTATCTTGTAGATTTGCATCGGTACTCGCTTGTCTTATAACCAGTGTTCTTTCAACCATCCAGGAGTTCACTATGGCAGCATCCAGGGCCCTAATATACATGGTAAGCATGTTGTACTCAATAAGCTTCATGACTGCCTGCCTCGATAAAGAAATCAAACATTTATGGCTACTCATAAAAGAGGACGTATTCAAATTATGTCTAAGCGAGAATGCTTGTGTCCGCCAAAAACTTATTTCCAGGCCACTTCAAAATAAATAGTCAGCCTTCAAAAAACTTTACTTCTTCAGATTTTATGTTTTTACAAATTTGGGATTAACGTCATTCAATCCAGACTCTTGACTCTTTCCTAAAAACTTCAATTATAATTTCTGCGTAGCTAAAGCAAGTAGTACAATTGTTGTGCAAAAATAAATTCAGCAATTGGTTATGTGTCAAGAAATCTAGGCGAAGAAACTGGCCCAAAATGCATTCTTTTTTTCCTAGACTAATTGTGTTGATATTTTTCAAAAGAATTTTACTTGCTTTTTACCGGTTTTTAGTAGAGTATTTCATCTGTCTGCATTTGTCGTTGTCAGCAGATTTTGATTTTCCATTCCATATATCCCTTTAGGTCGATCAGTCCAATTAGGCAATTCGATTTTGCTTCTATTCTTTGTCTGCATTTTCGGAATTAGCTTTTTTCTATCCAGTGAGATTGCTACATTCATTAAGTCTCGAAGTACTCACCGATTTAATAACAAGTATTGCGCATTTGTACATTCATCATATCTCCTAAAGATCATTTAATTTTCCAGAAAAGCAATATTTTTCCTTCGTAATCCACTTTATGTAAATAGTATGTTACAAAGAGTCGGTGTAGCAATTTTTTGGTGGGGTACAAATGCAATTTAATTTTATACAGCTTTGTTTGATGCTTGCCTGAAGCCACAGTTTGCAAGGGGGACGAAATATCCGCGCGTGCTGAGTATGGGCAAATAAGGGGATTAATCCTGCCTTCCCCATAATTTCACCTCGTGTTCCAGTTTATCTTAGGTATTCTATAGTGCACAGTCTTTTCAGGTCCCCAGTTAAATCGTATGCTAAAGTTTGAGTTGTTTTATTTATTATTCGTGACCTTCTTATAAAAATGATGAATCCCGGCCGCTTTGGAGGAGCAGATTAATTAGCTTTGCACCAGAAGAATAAAAAGGTCAGCTTTTGTCATAGGCAATAAAAAAGAGCAGACTTTTCCTCTGTAAATATTATTGGCACAAATAGTTGGAAATTCTATTCCCATGTTTTCTTTGGCATCAGCTACAGTTTATAAAAGTTTGTATTTTTGACTTTTGTCGTTAAGTGGTTTCGACCGCTATTAAATTAGTTCATTCTTACAATTTCTAGAAGTACAACAAATTTATGCAGCACTTTGCCAATGAGAGCTATAAAGACTTAGTCAATGGGTCTGAATGGGTATGGAATTAATTTGCTGTAAAAGAGGCCTTTAGCGTTACGAGCAGCGGGACACTACATAAATCTGAATGCAAAATCTTTTATGATTGGATTTGAATGGCGTCAAAAGCTTTAGACCTTTTCTCGGCCTCTAATACGTGGCAAAGGTGAAATTGCATTGTTTGAATCTATCCCACCTAGTAAAAGTATGCACCTGTAAGCATTCATCTTACATTTCAAAATAAAGTTTCCGAGCTTGTTATCTTGAGCTATTCTATGCCAATAATTGGATGGCACCAACTTTATTTCGAGATAGTAAGACTTAATTCAAGTGCCACTTAGTCTTTAAGTAGATTGGTATTGTCTAGCACCACCCATTATTTTTTTTGCCAAAACATTGGTTATGTGAATTATTTGTTCTTTTAACTGCATAATCTCTACTTAAAATCACAATCAGATAAAATTACTGGATTGAGCATTTCGCCTAAGTGTCAGAGGTAATGGACTTATCATACCGTAGGTTACGCAACGTAGGTTACCGTATAGTATGCATTAATTTTGATTGATTTTTTTGAAAACAGTTTCCCTCGTGCATAAGCGAGGCCTTGCGAGAAGTGATAAGGTTCCTCGCGGTAAACAAGGTCGATACCGAGTACAAGAGATGTTGTACGTTAACAAGTTTAAAATTCTTAAACTCTCTGAGTTTTCTTACAGAAAATGTCAATTTTAGGAGAAATTAATGTTGTTTTCCGTAAACTGATTCATGGTTTTATTTCACAACATGTCTTATACAGTTCCAGTCTAAAAGCGATATTTTTTTTGTGATGCTTAGAGTCATCACGCATTGGCTTAACACTGGGCTATCTCGAAGTCTCATCAACACGTTATGTTCAAAGATATATTTTAACTTTGCAAATGCTGGTTATTTATCGGCACGTGGATCTAAGGTTAATTCAGATCGCCTTTCACTTCCCGAATTTTTCATTTGTACTCTCCCTCAGCTGAAAATTTTATAACACCTAGATGTTCACATCATAAAAAAAAGTAAGCTAAGCCATGATAACTTATTGTGTCTTAGTGAGAACCTACTCTTTCTCTGGAAAAGCCCTTGATTAACTAAGAAGTGATTTGCACAACAAATAGTTTGGGAATTCTTTCGGCCTCAAAAAGAAGGCCATTCACTGTGGTCATCCAAGTAGCTAATTGCGCATTTTTGGAAAGCTGCTGCCGCCTTTTGGCTTTGCGCAACGCAGGTGTGCACGATCACTCTTTAGAATGGCAACAATCGCTAAAAAATACATCAGTTTTATTCATAGATCTGGCATTTACTGCCTTTCTCGAACGCATCAGGTTAGTGAGTTCGTTAACAAAGCTAGGCCAATTTAAAAATTGCCGATTTAAAACAGTAAATATCATTAGTACGAAAATATGTCGTATTCTCGTTTTCAAGCGGCCAGAATAAGTTTGGATTTCATAAGGCACCTAATTGAAACCAACCTACCAACAATACAATATTGTATTGGTTGAAATAATAATCCCTGCAGTCTACAAATCTTTCCTAAAAAGGCAGGAGACTGATGCGGAATCTATTTAATGGGGCATTTTGTATACAGAAGCAAAGAAATCTAGCCCTAGGCACTTCACCTACCAACTCACTTTTATTTCCTACTTGTCGAGTACACATGTAACTGTCCAAAGCTAAGAAAAAGCGGAACCGGGGAACACGAAGCCTGGGGGCAAAGTAGCATTTTTCTTCCTCATCTTAAAGCATAAAACTTTTCTCATGCAAGTGTGGTGAAGGTATGAGACCTTATTTTGTTTAGTGAGAATACGACTTTATGCCGACTGAATTACCAGACCTGAGTGTTTCCAGGAGTACTTACACACACACACACATATACGACTGCACAACACCAAGGAATGGTGACAATCACTTGGAAAAGAAGCATCAAGGGAGTACGGAGGTTGGGGATGGGAGTGGAGTAGTGAGTTCAAATCCTCTGGCCAGTATCTTTTGTGGTGTGAGGCATAGGATGTTGCATTGTCTTACAGGACTAAGAATGGGGTGCTCTGCCGACTCATTCACCAGTCTTAGGTGTTTTCAGGGGTTCTCCTCACACACTCTCCACTTGTACGTGGTTGCATCGAGTAGACAGATCGCAGCCGTAATTGTTTGGTCTTCAGCAAGTGACCAAGTCTTAGTGAACAACTCCGTCTTCAGTCCACCACGCATGCACGCACTCACATATACAAAGCACCGGGCTTGGATGCGAAGTGGTGCCCCAGCAGTGAGGGGTGGGTAGTGGGTCGTTTGAGCATGACCAATGACACACCTGTTTGCTTAACGGTAAAATGCAAAAGCCGTTCCTCATCACAGGTTGTTCATTTGTCCACCCAGTCATTGGTTCATTTATTAGTTCATTCAGTCCAACAGGCAGTCGGCAAGCAAGCTAAAAGTGGTGCTTTTATGTGGTGTGTGAAAAAAAAGGGAAGAAGAGCAAATTGATAGTCTTGGAAGTCTGGCATAGAGTGCCCACTCACCTAGGCTGCAGCATGACTTTCCCTTTGCAGTTGATGCATATGTAGACGAGTTGTCTCATTACTCACCTCAAGCATTACTGAACGACACGTCATTCTCTATTCCAGTCAAGAATAGTGAGTCCGCCTGAATGCAATGTTTTTCTCTTTGAATGATTTATCACAAGGACGAATGCAGTTTTGCAAACTACTTCTGAATTGCGTGTCCTGCTGCCACACCTTCTGCAGATGCTATACGAAGTAAGCGAGAGACTACTGCAGCATCGGAACTAAGTCAAACTTGTTGGGTTCGCAAAGGAGGCGAATTTGAGTCGTTTCCATCAGCTTTGAGTGGCATGTTATGGGGAATCAAAGTGATAGGCGAATGGTGCCCAGCATAATAAAGCGTGGTGGTAGACGCGTGCGTAGTCATGCTTTGAATGCGTAAAATCAATTGCATGCACTTGACAAGATTTTATAGGTTCCGACAGGTCATGCTAGCCAGCTATACCGAAAATCGCATAGACTTTAGTTTACCAAATAAAAATATTTACATTTCTTCTTTTAGGAACTGGTGCTGCTTTTTTGGTTTTTCATTGAATACATTGTACGAATGTGGAGCGCTGGCTGCAGGCCACGATACCAGACTTGGAGAGGGCGTCTTCGGTTTGCTAGGCGTCCCTTCTGCATCGTGGGTAAAGCCATTTTAATCCACCCCACATAGGCACAAATTGTCCACATTAATCAACATGACTACACATGCGTCTGGGACCAATTTATCGCCGTCCTTTTCTAAAAAACATCTTTAGCAATACTTACTTTTAGATTTAGCGGTCAAAACGATATGTAATATAAATGCCTATCAAATGATATTTTGCAACCTAGACGAATATACTACGCAAAATTTAATTTGGGGAGAATAGCATGCTTAGCCTGTTAATGACAGTTTTGATATGCACAATCTTGGAACTGTAAATATGCGCTAAATTTATTTTCAGTTAAAGAGTTGTGTTGTTTAATTTGCTAGCAAATCCATTTGCACTCTAGCAGCAATATTTTTAATATCTGAAAAAAATAAGCTAGACATTTAATAATTTTGTGCTTGCTTGAATCACTTTGTGTAAAAAATCAAAAGTTAATCCCGTATTGTTATGGACCACGAGATGTTCTCGAAAGTTAACGGCGGCACTGATTCCTAAATAGATGCCATTATTAAAAAAATAGCAAAAGTAATATTCTTTGGTAAACCACTGAAAAGCTTTTCTCCCACCATTTAAGGAATTAATGTAGAGCGAAACTTCTGCTGCTTCACGAAACTCCAACACAATTTGGTAAAAGTGGTTTTCTCCCACTTTCATTTTTTTCATCGCAGTAGAAATAATAGGGACGCTAATGACCCAACCGACTAGCTAGTGAAGTGTTAATTAGGAGTTGGATTAAGTGGACTTTATGTTTACTGCTTGACCCTATAGTTCAAGCACAAGGGTTTCTACATTTTTTGAACTTCAAAAATGTTCTGATGCTTAGCTCCCATCAGCAATTTGATAAAATAAGCTGATGTCTATTTCTCTCAAATTTATTAACCATAGAATTAAAAGTTTTATCATGCTTAATAACTATGTGATATGTTACTTCATCAACTCAGGGTTATGTAGTCGTTTAAGTGAAAAATTTGTTAGGCCAAACTTTGCTTTAAAACTCAATGGAGGCTTTGGCTAGCCTTCTCTTCTGGATATTAATCTCAGTAAAATAAATTTAATTACCAGATTAAGATGTTATGTACGACTGGACACCTTTCCGTTGATCTCACTACCTGCCGCCATCAATCATCAAGGGAGCAAGGTGGTGTTAGTCTCTGGGCTATTAGCGTATAAAAGCAATAAGACCGATATAATATATTCATGCAAAACGGAAGATTATACCTGATCGTGTCATAGTCAAAGAATTGGCGGGAAAGTGGCTTCATGGTGTCAATTGGAACACCATCACTGCGAATGGAATGAAGCTTAATGCTTTCACAGACAAAAATTAGTTGTCGTGGGAATCAATTCAGTGATCATCTATTGCCGAGGCACCTTTACCGATAATGTAGTTCTATGGGAACACAAACAAATCCCATCCATCTCTTGATAGATGTCCTTTTATTATTTGCTACACAAAATGTTTCATGACACATAAATGAACTAAGAAATAACTCAGTAATGGCCTATCAACTAGCCTAAGAAACGTTGACAATGAAAACTGGCACTTCGCACGCACCAGCTCAAATTCACTGTCCAGTCTTGTCCATAGTTAATTGCTGTGCTATTATTTACTAAATGGGGGAAGTTGCATAGGAGATGTGAGCTAACTTGGGAAATTCTCTTTCTTGATTACACAGACATCATTCTAATCGTGGCCAGTGTGATTGTAATTGCGAGTGACAATACAAGCAACGTATACGCGGCAAGTGCTTTGCGTGGCCTTCGATTCTTCCAAATCTTACGAATGATTCGTGTCGACCGAAGGGCAGGATCATTCAAACTTCTAGCCTCAGTTGTATGGGCCCATCGTCAGGTAGGACTTTGAAAGCTTCGTCCAATATACTAGAGACCGGGTTATAAAACTTGAGTAACATTTTTATTTCCTATGAAAAACGAAACTAACAATATGAACTATATTGGTGGTAAAGAGAAGTAGAAATTGGAAAATAAAAATATTGCTAATGGTTATAAATTGACCTTTTAACTGTACGGTACGGCTTTCTATTCTTAGTTAATTTGGAGAAGTTTATAGGCAGACAACACAACTATTCGCCTAATTTGCTAACTTCATGGTTTGGCTTTGGTATCTTACGGAAACAAGCGATTTTGAAATAGATTATTTTGTGTTCCAGGCGTTAATAATTCATATATTTTCATGTAACTGAAAAGTACACAACTTCTTTTTGCCATAAGTTGGATTGTGAATTCATGGCCTGTAACTAAATATCAACCTAGTAATGAACCCTTAAAATGATGTTCACAAGACTCCACGACTCATTCGGGAGAAAATTTGAATACTAGATTATGCTCAGTCTTTCCTGATTCGGTTCTCATATTACAAATTCCATTTTCGGTTCTTGTATTTGAAACGAACTCATGATGGGGGAATGTTTTCCCACCGACACCTCTTTGAGGTGATATGAAAGTTTGTAAAATTTGCTGTTTTTAATTCAATACCCTAATGCTACGAAATTTGATTGAAACTGGATGTACCGTCGATTTTTCTAGATCTTCTCAAAAACTCAAGTCTATGTGGCCATCCCGGTGGAAGTATGCGATTGAGTAGTAGCAGAAACAATAATTCAAGTGATCTCTTGCACATGTCTTCCAGCTTATTATCGTGCAAATCACGAGTGACGTAGATGAAAACTGCTCTATCGATGTCAATTAAATTCATTATGAGCAAAAGAAATGTAGGCAAAGTACTTCTGCTGACATTTTCTCAAATATATAGCCTTGTCAGCGTATTCCGATTTTTAAAGACTTCTTGCCCTCTAGGTAGTCTAAGTAAGTTTTTAGCGTTAGCGTTGTCTTAAAAGCGCTTTCGTATACTTCTGTTTACACTAAAGCATGGCACAACTTTTGCAAATAATAGATTAATCCTAATAATGGTAAATTTTTACATTTATTTTAAAGCACTCATATAACTTTTAGGGCTGGAGTTCATGAGTGATTGACCAGTTGAGGGGGACGTTGTCCGTGCATAACTTTGCATTGACCTATTTAAGGGAACCTTGAGAAAACAACAACATTTGTATTTGAATCAATACCACTTCTCCATTTATAAAAACTCATTTTCGGTGTTTTTGTATTTTAACAGGAACTCTTCACAACAATGTACATAGGCTTTCTGGCACTTATTTTTGGTTCGTTTCTCATTTACTTGGTGGAAAAAAAGGACAACAGGAAAATCCAAAGCTTTGCGGACGCTCTTTGGTGGGGCATTGTGAGTATCACAGTGAACACCTTATTGTCTAAGAAATTGAATATCTTTCAGATCATAGTGCTACACTTTTAATTTTACTGTATGAGCAAGAAGAATTCAAAAATAGCTGCCCATGCCCTAGCTCTAGCGGTATCAACAAGAACATATGCAAGAGAGTAGGGTTACTACTAAGCCACGCATTCCTCTCCCTTAAAAAAAATTAAAATTGGTATTGTAATCACAATTCCAGTAATTTTGTAATTCCACTCTACCTTTTTCGCCCATATCCTTAACAAAACTTTGGATTATGTTACTTCCTTAGCGGCTTCAATGGCTTTGTACTATACACCTATTTTTCGTCAGTTCCCATTGAATGTAACTGTTTCATAACAAATGTCTCATCGTATTGCAAGGTGGGTGATCGCTTTGAAAATCAAATGCATTTTATAGCGAAAATGTTGAGCGTTTAACCCCTCTGTTGGACCTACTTGCGTGGAAGCACGTCTTTGTGAGCCTCGTTCACATACAAAGTGTTCCTTTGGGAACGAAAATGTAGCTTTATGAGATATTTCTCAAAACCACTAAAATTTTCAGGAAGAGCTTATTTAAATGTTTAAAAATGACAATTTTGCTTATGGTAATTGCGCATTCTTCCTAAAAGAAAAAACTTATAAGAACGTTGCTTTGCATTGCCAAAGAAATTTGGGAGTGAAATTTATTCGGAAAGGACAGGAGGAAATGTTCATTTTAACATCAAAAGACCGTTAAATCTAGCGAAATAGTTGTAAGGCTATCGGCTGATTCCCTTTATTTCAACCCCTCATCGGTGAGTCAATATAAATGTTTCTATCGTCAAAAAGACTTCTAATGTTATTTTCAAATAACCATACGAACGTTTTTTTGATTTACATCTATTTTTCAAGTCCCTATAAAGTTCGCTGGGTTTTCCAGACAATGTACAATGCCAGTTAAATGCGACCTACAGCAGTTTAAGGCGCTATAGAAAGTTCTTTTTATTAATTTCTGGAGAAAAACCTTGATATTATTAAGTGTTACTTCAGATAACGCTTTGCACTGTCGGTTATGGAGACGCGGTACCAAAAACTTGGATAGGGAAAATTATTGCGGCTTTCTGCGCCATTGCTGGAATATCCTTCTTCGCCCTTCCTGCCGTAAGTCACCGACATCTTTGCAAACTCTAATCAAACTGACTTGTTGTGTGGAAGCATTAAATATGCATATTTTGCCTCGTCAATTTAAAGCTAATTAACCAATTTCACCTACAGACCGGGTTTTCTGGCGAATCATAACCACAATATACCTCCAAATTTTTGCTTCGTGTTCAACAAAGGAATTCTTTAAAGGATAAACGGAGCACGATCAAATCACTTGGGTTACTCAAGATAAATTATTGAGTGATTTATGTATTTTGGCACACTAACCTAACACGTAAAAGGTTTAAAACCAATACACTTTTAAAGAAGGCTGATGCCAATGATAGACTGTTTGTTAACCTCAGGGCATACTGGGTAGTGGATTTGCCCTGAAGGTGCAACAGCAACAACGCCAGAAGCACTTGATTCGAAGACGCATACCTGCCGCTACTCTCATCCAATGCATGTGGCGCTGCTATGCTGCCGACAAACAGTCCACTTCCGTCGCCACATGGAATATTTACACACCCCAAACTATCATCGATCCCTTGTAAGCGCACCAATTCTTGGGTATTTTAGTTTGGAAACGTGTTCAGCATTTTATTCAGGGAATATAAATTACGCCAGTTTGGCGGTTTGCTTACTTTTGCTGGGTAAGTAAGAAGTGATTTAAAATCATCAAGGCCAGAGATTGAGAAAAAAATAACACCAACTGTAAAGCAAAAAGTCACTAGAAGCAATTGTTGTGTGTGATCCTCAAGGCACTTTTAGTTGCAAAGTTGCCCCATGAACGAATGAGGTAAAATACCATGGAAGGCCTACGTGCTAAGTGCAGTGTTAAAAGTGCTTCATAAAATTTCGTGATCATAAAAATTTGAATCCACTGCATAAGAAAGTTGAGTAGTTTCCTTAAAGTTGTCAAAACGCAAAATTATCTGTGCTCATCCTTACGTCTGCATAAGCAGAGCATGTAACCAACTGACTGAAGTCTTTAATGAACAAAATAATCTGTGCTTTAGTGCGTAACTTAATGTAAGCCTACTTTGGCTCTGTAAGTCCTATCGTGTTTTTTCGTTTTTAATATACTTGTATTTACATATGCAACATTGTTTGCGGATGCTTATGCAAGTTGAACATCATATCCAAAAATAAATTTATCTCTCTTACTTGTATCACCCGCACTTTACCATTAAAAAATGACGTTGAAAAAATGTATTTTAATGGTTGATCTTTTAAAAGCTCATTAAGTTACTCAACCTTAACTAATGTAGACTTCGCCTCTAAGGCTAATTCTTACCCATATACAAAAGATACGTTAACACGAGAATTGTTCCTATTGTATTTCTGGATATGTATGACCCCTGTTTTACGTTTAATGCGTATCATTTGAACGTATGCGAGAAAGTTGGTAAGGGAAACATACTTTTCGTTTGTTGCTGCACAAAAAATCACTCAAAGTTTACTAGACGCTCAGCGGTATTCTCAATTAGCAATAAGTTTATCATGATCCACGACTTCCAAGTAGAGTTGGGCAACTGTTGTTGGTTTCTGCCTGAAAAGTTGTAGTATACGAAGGCCAAATCCTCAAAAATCCCTCAAAAGCCATTTGGAAATTCTTGAAAACTTGAGTAAAACTCTGAAGTTTGTTTCAATGGTCCCAATGTCACATTTCATTCCAATTGCTGAAAATAACAAAAAAACTTTAATGTTGGTAATCCCACTAATTTATTTTAGGTAATATAGAATGATGATTAACTTTGCTAATGACGGTGAACCCAAGCGTCTTCTGCTAGTTTACTAAGTTTTCTAAATACGCCTCTATGATTTAGCAATTTCCTAGCCTTTTTGTAAGACTAAATTCATGTTATGTTTTTTATGTCACATGTAATATAAATCGCGCAACAACTTTCCCTTCTTTCAGTTTTTATTTCACTGAGCGCAAGGGGTCCCCGTCTTTCATATCCAAAACTTGCGAAACTAGCCTAGTCCATGGACAGGGACAGATGGTGTGATTACACAAACTATTCTCTTAAAGACAGCTATTAAGTGCAATTGTATTTTTGTTCTTGTTAACATTCTGAGGCCATTGAACGACGTGTTTGTTCCCCTTGGTACACATACAACCGCACTTCGAATACAAAAACTAAACAATTCTCTTGAGCAATAATTTCGTTCCTATTTGTGGTTCCATTGAAACAATTGCTAGTTTGAAATCGTTGGTAAAACGCTAGGCAACAAACAAAGGCAATTAAGTTAGTTATTACCACCACATCCCTCAAGAGTGAGCAATGGCAAATAAGGAGTGACGTTCTTTGTGCTGAATTTGGTCAAAAATGAAAATGACGATTTGTTCCTTAAGGCTTTATTTGATTCGTAGAAGTATCCTGAAATTCCCCACAATAACCTTGCGCTTATTGTCATGTTTTTAATTAAAGATAAATTCCTCAAATAATTCAATAGTACTTGCTTTGATCGAAGGACTATTTGGAATGGAGGACTATTTGTTGGAAGGGAAGGTATTTGAACAAGCGGTATTTTGCTTGCAGGTTCCAGCCAACGGGGTCAATTTCTGAGCGAAGTGGTTTTGGGCGATTCGGTCAGCGTCTTTCATCGATTAGAAGGAAAGCTGAAAAATTAAAAATTGGAAATACAGTTCCGGGAAGTGGTCTAAGGCCAGCTCTGGCACAGGCCAATCTTTCATTCATCTTACCATCTCCACTTACCGGGAGGGAAGGCAACCACTTAAAATCACTTGAATACGCTCCCACACCTTCGGCTCCTGTTTTACTTAGGAAAGTCAAATCAGAATACAAAATTGACGATAGCCGAAGAAAGTTTGTATCAGCGCGGTGAGTCAACATGCCTTCCAACTTAGTTATTCAGCGGGAAAATGGTTGTTGGTAAGGAACGATTAGTTGTATTTTGTGTCTATTTCATTTATGGTCTGTGAACGCAATGTTGGATGCTTTGATGCGATTTATTTTTTCTATCTCTTGTTGCAAATACATGCTAAATCTGCGCACTCTACGTTACCGTTGCATGCAGATTATTCTCTCAGAAATATTGGTTAATCTTCTTCTTCTAAGGCAATTAATGCAAGTAATGGTTTTAAGGAGCATGTCTGACCGGAAATTTCTCACCATGTGTTATGTTTTTCGAAGCGTTTAGCTTATTTTTTTAGAATTAGGCAGTTTATGGTCAGTGTTTCGCAGCACCAAATGTTATGAAAATCATGCTAGGAGTTTTACATTTTATAATTAATAAAATCTGACCTTGGTGATGAAGTAAACTTCTTTGAAATTATGCTATAAAAACAGAAAACTTTTTCTTAGAAAAATAATTGCTAATAAAGGATATTTTGGTTTTCTTGAAAGACCCATTGAAGTGCACTTTAACCTTTACTAACAAAGCCTTACATCTGTGAGGTCGAACTCAATTCAAGTGCCTGTGGCTATTCTTCACCTTGAGTAAACTGTCTTCTTTGTCACTTACATTTCCACCTGTACTACCCTTATTCCAAACACTTCATTTTACTGAAAACACATAATTTAAAGCGACAGAAAATGTAAATAGTTCTGACTTTCGGTTATTAATGTTTTGTGGAGTACAATGACAGCGTATCGAAAGTATGGACTGCGACTTACTGTGATCACTATTTCCCGATTCTAGTCAAAAGGACACCTCAGCACCACCGGAAAACAGCGATAGCGTGATTACTCCAGATTCAAGCGACGGTAAGTCTTTTTGACTTTGCTAAATAGGAATATCGGTAACTGACAGCAATGGTAGGAGCCAACTACTGTGTGGCTACAGGCTGACTTGTAGTTATTGTGGGCACTCACGCACCCATCTTATTTCTTTTTCTAAAACTGTAAACAAACTAAATGAACTTGCCTCCGAATAATTTACATTATCACTCTTAGAGTATCACCACTTTCTCGATGGGAGCACTCATGCGCGATGTTCCATACAGGACGGCATCAACCATTTGTCATAGTTTTGGCATTGGACGATTACTTCAGCCTTTATCGTCGCAATATCCTACTAGGTGTATAAACTACAAATTGATGGTGAATAAGCATTAAATTTATGCAAAGCTGTGCCATTTTTACATCATAATGTAATTTTTAGATTTTCGCTCTTGTTTTAAATTTGTATTAATAAGTCCGGAAGTAATAATACGCGCGGGCCATCAAGGGTTGAAGTTGAAAATAAAGTGCTTCATACTTTTTCTGGGCATCCCTAACCTTTTGCGGGCTGTTTAATGCATATCGTCGATTTTCGCGCCTGATTTAATCCCTTAACAGTAGACATTAAAAGGTTTCTCTGTCGGCATGCGAGATACTAGTTTTTTTTTAAGTGACAGATATCATTTTCGTATTTGAGACAATCTACTATTCAAACGCCTACTGTACAGATGATCATCGGTATTTAGTGGAATTTTTTTCAAAAGGCATAATATGAGTCTTTCAAACGCATTAAGTGTGTGCGAGTGTTACACGGTAAATAGACATTACCACCGGTAACTTTACCCCTTCGTGCAGACGCGTATCCGGGTGTTTAATTTCACCTCCGCGAGTAGTCTGAAAATTTTGCGAGTAAGAATTACAGCATTTTTAACTTTGTATCTCACGATTCTGTGTAATATATTTTCCTTTGAACTTCACTTTGTGTCTATGATTGGGGTGGAATGGGAACGTGGGTTATCTAAGCGATTTGACATCAGGACACTAGGCAAACACTCTTCTATCTCTTGCATATATTATGAAACGAACTCTGTCAAGCATTTAACAAACTGAATATTTCCAATGAAGCCATAAAGTGTTCACGAATTATGACTTTATATTTCTTGAAACTGTGTTTTAATGCAAATATGCATGCATCATTGTCAGTTCCTTTAGGAGGTTCATTTCATTTTCGCACCACACTGGATTGGATTTGTTGACATTTTAACTCATTCATTCATACTTTCCTGCCCCTTACTGCAAGATTTTCACACCATGAGTTGTATTTTTTTAAACTAATACGGCCTATGTTATTTTGAAGCTTGCTTCTCTTTCTAAGATGGAATGTTTTCCTCTTCTGTCGCCTTTCTACTGAGATCGACTTACTAGAGATGTAATACACTCCACTAATTCCAGTAATAAGTACTGACTAAGACTACACATTTGTCTTCGACTGTGTATTACTTTCAGTACTTATTTAATAGAGCTTCAACCTTTTAGTCTGCTAAATCAAAGGAGATTCATTAGGTCATGCTTAAGCGTTGAGGGGAATAAACGACATCACACCAAGTCACGCCCACTATAAAGTATCGACTTTCGTTGGGAATAAATCTTATCAGAATAAACCTGCAGATTAAAAATTTGGTATACGCGTTCGAATTATTAGCATGAAGTTCTCACAATTTTGCTGAAAACCATAAGCCGAAAATAATGGCCGGATTTGCAAGCATAAATGTCATGCAAACCTATTAGCCTAAATGAAAATATTCAATAAATTACTTTATTCTGGCTAACTCCATCTCTGCTTGCTTCCGATCACCCCTCACTCCTGTGCACTTTGCATCTAAACTGGCACTAATTCATCGGTGGCGAATTAATATGCATTTTTCCCTAAATCTCGCGCATTTTTATTTTCTGCTGAATTTTCGACTTCTCAGATCAGAGTGACAGCTCCTCGTCACAGGGTAGAGCTCTGGAAATGGTCAGCCCGACAGAAGCACGTGAGAGGAGAATGGGAAACTACTACCTAGAAACAAGCCGCCCATTAACTGAAAATGACAAAGTTGTCATCCGGGTGATCCGCAAAATCCGGCTCTATGTCGCAAGACGGAAGTTTCGCGAGGCCCTTCGACCTTATGATGTCAAAGACGTTATTGAGCAGTATTCTGCCGGACATTTGGATATGGTTTCGAGGGTGAAGATACTTCAATCACGGCAAGTTTTCCTTTTTTCTCAAATAGGTCTGGTATGCTTCATCCCTTCGGAAATATTTTACATCACTGTTTCATGCATCCATCGCAAGCCCAAATCCAGATATAGAAATAAAGCATTGTTATGGTAAAAGGGGGCGAATGGTTCATTGGGATATGCGATAGATTGAAATCTTTTCAAAACTCCGATACTCAAATGAAGTCTGTGTGGTTCTTAAAACCTAACCATTAAGAATCCGAATTGCTCCATGTAATACCGCTTGACCGCCGTCTTAAACAAGTGGCACTCCTAAAAATCAAAACAATCCTACAGATATTTCATGGAACGAGCTTGAGTTGAGTTACCTTATTTTTAAGAAATCCAAATAAAAACTAGTTGGGCACCCAAATTTCCTCAGTACCCTCATAAATGTACAAAATCCTTATTCATGGATTAACTTTTAGAAAAGTCATCTTTCTGTCAATATACGCAAAGCCTTTTCGAACCAATCTGTTGACCTTTGGGAGTAAATTGTGCTCTTTTACTGTAATTTACTTCTAGTATTAAACATAAGTGTCTCATAGTCCATGATGGAATCCATTTTTAGAAAAACCTTGGAATTTTTATTGTAGAGCACGCCCATACAAATGATAAACTACATTTGAAGTGAAGTAAATCGCACCATTTGCCCCTCTCCGAATTCACATCCGCGTAATCGCGCTTTACCAAGTATTCAAATTATCGCAAATGCAATCAACGGCACTCAAATGTTGTTGGCAATCACATTACACCGGATTTTAATATCTAGTATTACGAGTCTCAGACAAATAAATAAACCAATCTTCTCACAAACGTGCTTCTTCAACAATTTAGAGGGTTGCGCACATTAGTGCTGATTCTTAAACTTCCATATCTGTTCACATCTTACGGATGTATAAGAGTTAATTCAGAATCACCAAAACTGTGCGAATTTTCGCGGCTAATTTGAAATAAGTTTTGCCCGTTTAATGGCAGCTTTAGACGTTAGACTCTGGTGTTTGTGTTTCATATTCCGGTGCGACTAACTTTGTTTTGCTTAGGTAACTACAATGCCTTGAGAATTTGTTTTCTTTCACTACAATGGCCTTATTAACTGCAGTTTACTGTCCATTCAGTAAACTTTTAAGTAACTTTTAATGTGACCATTTTATTTTATATTTTATTTAAACCGCATTCCATCCTGGTGTATAACACTCATTAGAATTGATCATTAGTGGGTCACCAAATCTTTAAATTACAAATGAAAGTAAGTTGTTTCTCATTTTAGAGTCTGCCATTATTATTCCATCCCCCGCAACTGTAACAAAACTGTTTTGTGTACTGGATGTACGCCCTTACTGACATCTCAATTTTTCAGACTAGATACCATCCTCGGACGACAAGGTGGCAAATCTCCGACCGCTTACAATTCTCACATCAGTCTTGCAGCTCGCGTAGTTGGAATAGAGTCTAGCGTTAGTTCCAACTTCATTGTCATCTCATAAATATTCCTCATCTGTTTTATATAAATGTGAGTGGTCATCAAGTGGGTGGTTGAGGTCACATTCAGTAAAGAAGTGTGGATGAAAAGTTTCCTAAATATTATTACTAAAGATAGTATCCACAGCTAATTTGAGCGCCAAATTTTTTTAATGTTTTTCGCTTTTATCACCGCAATAAACCCATAGAAAGAAACTTAAAAGTATTCCAAAAATCCCATAATTGCCACGTCTTAAACTACACCCAATAAATGAATAAATCTCATTACTCTAGATCTTAGCACTTTTTCATATTATTTACATTTAACACTACTTGTTTAAAGACTCCAACACTTTTTAATTCATTTGCTACCTTAGATTAGCGCTTCTAATACTTATTCATGGTCAGAATGTTATACGTCTAGGCGATTTTATTGGACGTATTAAGAAGAGCTTCTGTGCAGGGTTAATCAAGTATTTTGTTTTGGGATAGAAACGAAGAATCAATTATGAAATGCCTAAATTGCTGCTTTGTTGACGTATCTTCAAAATTAAAACATTTAATTTGCTTTAACTAATGCTTAAACCTTTGCTTTATTACAGTGGGAAACGTGGTACATATGATGCTGCATCTAAAATTGCCTTATCAACCTATCAAAACTGCCGGCCTTCTGTAAATCTCTATGCAGTTTAATCGTTTCAAGCCTTCGTAATCCATATTGCTTTTGGGTTAGGATCAGAGGCTTTAAATGCACTTCTTAATTTTCTCCTCGTAAACCTTCTTCATTTATTCAAGTTTCTGAGACCATTTTTTTAAGTCCTTCAAGTACTTTCCCTTACGAATGCTTATGGGAACGTACTGTTCGTATTCTGAGGTGATTTTCGGTCAGATCCCAACGTTCTGAGCATTGAGAATATGACAGCTGCCCTTATATAATGTCTTATTTAATGGCACCTCTAAAGAATTGTGGAAGCTTTGCATAAAATCTTCAACTTTGTCGTTGTTCTCAGGCGTTAAGCCGATGCTTTTTAAATAAAATAGACACCGGAATAGTTTTCTGTAACTTTGATATTATATTATGACTGCAACATATTGCCTTAACGAAAATGTGACAATTACTGGATTAGTTTATGGAGCAATGAAGGCTTGTTCGTGTCACAGAGCAACCGGATTTAAAGTGACGCTTTTAGACATTACTTAGTGCCTATGTTGTGACGTAAATATTTAGAGCAAACTCCTGTTAAAGTGTATTTATCACTCGTTCTTCGATTCACTGAGGATTTTTCTACTTCCTATCCCCTTCTCCGTCGTATATCAATCCATTTCCACTTTTGAGTCCTAATGCTTACGAGATTTTTCAACTTTTTTTAAAAAGTATGCATTTTAAGGCAAATACCCAACCCTAGTCATGACAAGTCTGTTTGACCGGAGCAATTGCTTGCCTAAATGCGCATCCGACCATTACGATATTTACCAGTCGCATAGGATTTCCAGCAACATGTGTAGTTTTGATATTACAGTGTTCCATGCAATGTGTGTTATTCAAGTGCCTGATGTGGGGTTGTTTTGCTTGCGGGTGGCTGACACCATTGCACGCTAGCTCTAAAATACAGTACCATTTTCGCAAATTTGCCTTTTTCCATTGGTTTATTAACCCTGACCCCAGTCGCTGAGGCCATTTAGTCTGACAGGTAGACAGAGTTGATGGGTAAATCGGTATAATTATGACAGATACATATGCGTATCCATATTTGTTTAGCCGTATTTAAAGAAAACCATTGGAACAAGTACGCATTTTCCCCCACGCATGAAATACACCGATCAAAGGCGTTGCCATATTTTAATCGTATAATAGTATAGTTCATCTAATAAGTCATATCGATTTGAGGTACCGGAAAGACCCCACCATAGCCCGGGTTAAGCATACCGACGTGAGCCCGACAAGTGACTCACCACGCGCTCATGCTATCGCCAAATTTGGGCAAAATGCAGCCAGTCGAAGATATTAAATCTCGTCTCATTGCCACCTTCAATCCCTATTGGGAAGGGATGATCGTGCTTCGGCAAAGACCTTTTTTGCGACTAGCCGTCAATGTGTTTTTGAAAACTCGAAAAACAGAAGTAATTTTGCTGCATGGAAAGTGGAGATTTTTTAGTTAAACTATAGAGATTACTCTTGGTTCAACCTAAAGGAATGCGGTAAATCACTGCCATTTACTTTACTGCAATCGCTTCAAGAGCTTAAATTTTCTTTTTCTTGATCTTATCTCTGCCCTTTTTGATACATTAGATTTTGGAGCAATTGATAGATCGGTTCTATATTTTCTGCTTGGTACTTTCACCTATCATCGCAACAAGGTTAGCAATTTTTTTTCAGTCCCTCTGACCGTTAGTTAAATGTAACAGTTTATGGGATTACACCCATCAAAACCTGGATTCTTGTGTATGGTCATAATTTTCCACATTTTAATACATTTGACATGGGTTAATTTTGGGAGAAAGCGATTCTTAAAGTATTTTCTTATTGGTACTAGCGTTAAATCAAAACATGGTTAATTTTCTGTTATCATGTATGCTACACTTTTTCCACAATATATTGTCTTAGTCTAGCAACTACAGGAATATTTATTACTCGGGACTTGAGTAACAGGCACCTCATACATTGCCTTTTCAAACTGTTCGCACTTGTTTCATCTTTGAAAATTACATGTTGGTTCCAATTGACGAAAACAGGCTTTGTGGTAGGCAAATTGCAGAGCAAAAGTTCAAAAGAGTTATCTTTACTTTCATCTTCATATCCTTGTGGTTGGTTGCTGGCTTTTCAGAGATTCCTAGTGGACTTGGAAGTAGAGAGCACTTCGAATACACTTAAAATGAAGGCACGAAGAGCGCAGCGCTTCATAGTGTGCAGATTTAGAATAGGGTGCCCTTTCAAAATTTCATTTTTCAAAACAAGTTCCCCCGGTCGAAAATTTACTGCAGGTAGAGTAACGTGGTATTTGATGCCCTAGCAAGATTTGCCGCTGATAAGCTTATAGGCAGAAAAACCCTCTTCACTGTGACCTATTTTATTAATTTAACGTTAAAGTACATGCTTCGAAAATTTGGATACATAAAAACTGAGGTCAGCAGTCGAGACCTTGTTGGTACCTGTTTCGATACACAAGTACCTCAATTTTGGATGTCGCTGGTTTTTCCGTTGCCAAAAGAATGTACACGTACCGGACATGCAAGAAGTTTATGCAATTTTAGGGTAATACATTAACCCTTCCGCTGATGTTGTTTTGCCTAATAACTTTTTAATTTATGATATTCGCGTCCTTCTACATTTATTGCTCGGTGAATTTGCCTAGTGTTTCACTTGCTGAGGCCTTATTGGGGGAATAAATTATCTTGTGCAGTATAATTGTTTTGATTTCCTACAGAATGTGATTTTGGTGCTCGTGGCCGAAGCCTTTGTAGCTTTAGCCCATTTCTGACAACACTACAAACAGCAAGCACATCATTAACTGCCTCATTATCTACCAGTGTCTGCATCAGCATTTGTACGTATGCCTTTTCATTCATAAATAAAGGGGAAAGAATAAGCACGGATGAGAGCATTTCGAACTCACCTCTTCCACTTGGTTTATGACAATGTTTTCATAAGTCTTCGGAAAATCTTAATTTCCCTTATACTTCTATTTACTTCAAGTAAATTTTATACGCTCTAAATCCTATTCTATGGCACGCAATTCCAATGCTTTGATTTTGTTTTGATAATAAAAACAGGATAAACAGATGCTGTTCGTCCCACAGAAAGGTGATCCGTTAGTGTCTTTCTGCTGAAGTCCATCATTTACATAAACTTTGATATCGTGGTGGTCGTAATGAGGGAAAGTGTTTGCAGAAGTGTGAGAAATGGAGGTAATATGGTTTGAATGTAGGACAGGTTGGTACAAATGCGCTTTTTCATTCTTCAGATTCCAGACTGAACCTTGCAACAGTGACACCCCACGCCAAAAATTGGCCTTCACGCATTTGCATGACATTCATTCAGCCTTCCCCATTCTTCGTGACAATTTTCCATAACTTTGCAGCACTTTTAATACATATCCGAAACGAGAAATGCTATCTGATGTTTAATTGTATACTCAACCATTAAACAATGCTTTTTATATCTATGTGTTAATTTGATACTTTAAGTCAGACATATACAATCGAGTCGTGACCATATCAGGATAAACACGTGATAGTTTTCTGCAAAGTTCCCCTATTTCGTCATTACAGATGAAAAGTGTTTAAGTACCATTATCTAACCCATTTTTCACCCAATCCTTCGCTAAAAATCAAATGACCGATGCATTCAAGGGAAGTGCCTCCAATGGGAATTGAAAAATAATACTTAGTACAATTCAGTATTCTGCAGTTGGCATTAATTAGGCAAATATGTTTCATATTTCACGGTTTGTTATATTTTGCACTAACTGTTACTCAGTTAAACAGCTTTAATGCACTGGGTCTGAGTAACTCCTCTAAAATTTATTCAACTCCGATGGCGAGGAAGTACGAACTCAAAGTTTTAAAAATTCCTCCTAGGTAGTGCCGACTGTGATGTTTTCTTGCATGCGCTTTAAATCTTTCCACATCAGTCTAGTGGATTGAAAACCAAGCCTTATTGCCTTACAGAAGTATCTTTGCTTTTATGGCCAAAATTCCTCAACCGTGCATTAAACCAAGGTAAATATGAGGTAGTTCAAGTATTTTCAACGACGCGGCCACTAAATTTTATTATTCAGTTAATTAGAAAAAAGACAACTGTTCTATCACTGCGTTGAAGTGGTTTTTCATTATTGAATAACAATTTAGCAAGCTTTTGCCCATTCATTAGGAAGCACCTTGAACTTGAAGGACCATAATTAATGCTCCCGTTTTTTCAATATGCGTCTTCGAATACCACTTTCGTTTGCTATACAATTTCAGCTGAAGCGACTGGACAAGAAGATAGACATCGTGATGCAGTTATGCCAAAGTCTTGCGGGGCAGCGACCTCACACTGGCAGTCTTCCCCCTCCTGGTGTGGTTCCCCTATATGCTCATAAGCCTTCTCATCACAGCAGGGAGACGTCCTCTCGCGTATCTCTGCTCCGAACGTCCCTGAACCTCTATCCGGATCAAACGCGCTCCCACGAGGATCTATCCACCTCGCCGACCTCTTCGTCAACCCTCTGTCCTCCCTCCCCAGCTTATGAGCCCACCTCTACTTCCTCTAGACGAGGCAAACAGTCCGTCTCCTTTAGCTGCGAAACTGTTCTTCATCCATCTCGAGGGTACATTAGTCCCGAAGTGTTGGATGCGCAAGCTAGAGTAGAGAAGAGAATGAAAGGGGATGCAGGCCAGGGTAATCAGGAAAAGGCGGACGCAAGGAAGAGTCAGATGTTTGAGACAGAGGAGGACGCACTAAGCACAACCCACAGACCATTTCCCACTGCCGCTACCGTCGTTCTGCATCGACGCAAGAGTAGGCGAAGGAACACCTAAAGGCTGGACCAAGCTTTTTTACACTTTGCTTCTACTTTATAATCTTGACTTTATTTCTATTATCACATGACAACTCATCGGCAAACGTGTGAGTGTATGCACACTTGCTGATCAAAAGATTGTATTTTTAATACCTTAAAACAGAAGAAATGAAAAGATTACGGCGAATACTTCTTACGTATTGTAGTTAGGTCATCTATTGGAAGAATCGAAACAGCAGTCTTTATGGGAATAAATATCCAGAACCGTGTTTATATTTGTATCAGGTGATTGGGTAAATACATTTGCTTAGATTGTCCTCCAAGTACCCTTTTATCACGAATTTGTAAGCATTAATTATCAATAAGATGCCCTAACAATTTTTCCAAAACTGCTTACCATAATTAGGCTCGACATCATTACAATCATCAGTATTTCATGCAATAACTTCATCGCATGGGGTGCGTTGACCAATTTACAGGCCCCATAGGTCTGTAAATCGGAATCTTTAATGTTTAGACATTCCAAGTGTTTTATTAAATTGAGGGCTGTCTTACACATCACATACGAATCTCCCACTAAAAGGAAGTTCGAAAAATGAAGACTAATTACAGTATAGGACCATAACATTCGTAAATGACTGTAATGTCATGGTGGCTGCAAAGGCATAGTTAATTCTATGCGTTCACCCCAGATTGATCTCACTAGAAATTATGACATTCAGCTCCATTGAACAAAAATGTCAGCACTAACTAATTATGCGCTTGTTTAAAAATGAGGCGGATCTTTAACACCCATAGGATTATATGATATAAAAATTCAATTGTGAGCCCGGAAAATCGTCCTAAAATTTTTTTTTGTATCTGTGAATGAGCAAAATACATTGTGGAGGAAAGGTGATCAGCAACTTACACAAAAGTTTAGCATGCAGGAAACAAAACCTAAGGGCCGGGAATAGATGAAGTAACCGGCTAAAGATGAGCTTACACCAGGAAGTGGTGAACTGACACGATACATGCCTTAAGTCGCTAAGCCTATCGGCCATTACGGTTAATAACAAAGTAGCTATATTTACAAAAGTGGTTTTAGTTAGATTTACTGAGATGAATGGGATGTGCGTGTCGAAAGACTGTTAGATTTCTAAGCTGCTTTTCCTACTGTCAGTCAAACGGAGTTTAAGTAAATAAATCATTTTTATCATTTGCCCTTTCTCAACTTAGCATAGACATCCTCTCGTGAACACTGAAATATCCCTCAATTCTTTAGTTACTGATATTCTCGAAGGAATTACCTAAATGAGAGATTACTTTTCTTCAACCCATAGAAGGGAAGTAGAATTAGGCATAATGGTTCAGTATACTGTTCGTTTGATCTCCATGAGCGATGAAATCATCCATATCTAGTTGAAGAGAAGTTTATTGAATTAAATAAATTCTTGTGCCTAATCCTAATGCATAATTTGAGTAGCCTAAGTGGTCATATGGGGACCGACACAATGTGCTTCTCTTAAGCGATCATGGACACTTGTCAATTGTGTACTAGTGGTATTCATTTTTCAAAAGCTTATTTTGAAGTCGGATAATCTTTCATGGCATCTATTAACTGAAGACAGGGTTATACAAGGTTGCCTTAGTATACCCTTTACGTGGTATACGGCCAATTCACACCATCCTTGTGGATGAGTGGACGTCGCTGATCCCCAAGGAAGAGAACACAAAGCCTTCCATACAACTTTGATAATTGCTAAATCCTCTGTGCTATGCAAACATAAGATATCTTTCTTCGGTCAGTATTTCCAGTATTTTAAATAATAGAAGACGCAGTTGCTATATTTTAAGTTTCCAATAATAATGCTTTAAATAAAAGGGTTGGTTTTTATATTTATTGAGTCTTTTAGCATCGACTAGGCATTTAGCAGAGCAGCGTAAAATCTTCACTAGGTTGTCAATCACCATATAAATATCAGAGATTTGATTTGATTTTTTATTCTTGGTATTGTAAGTTTTATGGGCTTTCCTGGATTGTCTTTGGACCTATTTTTCCACGAACAAAGCTAAACTGTCCGGACCATGGAGGCACCCAACTACTGCAAAATTCCACCTGGTAATTAATTTAATGCTTTAACTACTTAGTTAACTCTTCGTTCTGGTCACATGGGTACTGAAAGGCATGGCTGTTGTACTGTAATGCAATGGTGCTTTATCTTTCAGTATTGGTGAGGCACCACTTTTGTACTTTGAATAAGCCTTCTTGTACCGCGCTGGGTGGGCTAACCCCTGGCCCATGCTAATATCCTAAACACCTTCTCTGTGCTGAATATATTTATATATATTCTGCCTGAGTATTGTAGCTTCCTTCCTCTTCAGGGAAGTCTCGGGGCGCTACAGCACTTTTGCCCGACGGCATGGCCCGGAGACCATGCCGGTAGCCTCGCAGACCTCCTGTACGTCGCTAATACATTTTCTGTCCTAGTATTATGACTTCTATTGCCTTCAGGAAAGGATAGGGTCGCTACATTAAAAGCTATAATCGGTGCGATTACTAATTGTACTAAATAAAAACAAACTGGTGGTTTCCAACTCATTCGCACTAAATACTCAAAAAAAACTTGATGAACTTGTCGAGTGCTTTGACCATCTCATTCAAGCAGCCAGCAGAGCGGCGGATACATGGAGCAAATTACCAGAGTCTGAAAAATAAGAATTTTATTTACAATAATGCAATAATAACATGCACAAAAGCACAAAATCACTGCCGCTAACCAAACATTAAATTTTTAATTGACCACTGAAAGTTAGGAAGCTTTATTTCTGCCGAAATCTTCGATACTAATGTACGCCAAGCTACATAATAGAACCGGCATTTTCACTACGCAGCACCTACTTATTTTATCGCCAATATTTCAGAAATTTTCGACTGTTGTGTTGCTAGACCTTGAGTCAGTACACGCAACCATGCCCACCATTTCTAGTCAGTCATTTTTGCCCAGCTCCTTGGTTCATCCTTCTATTTTGGTTTAATTAATGTCTAGAAAGTAAAAGACAGTTAACTTCCTCAAACTCCCACGAACGTTTGTGACTGTTCGCCATAGTAATAGTCCATGATCCAATATGCCATGCCTATTAATGCTCAGTTTTTTCGATCCAAGGGTTTGAAGCCACAGCTGAATGAGAAAGAAATTATTCGGGTAATCAGAATGAGAAAACCAGATGCATTTGTAGGGAAACGCTGATAAAACGGCACTAGTGTGCAGATAAAAAGTATGATGCAAAATCGATAAAGAGATTCGGAAAGACGGGTAATTTTTTGGCATATAACTTGCATTCATTTTTGCGTCCTATTGAGCAATGTTGCAGCAACAAGTAGGCCTGACGACATATTATTAAATTAAAACTGTCAAACAGCAGTGTTTTATTGGCATGAGTTATTTTAATTTAAAGATTTGTGAGCATGATCTAATTTTGGTTGTTTAAGTTGGCTAACAAACTGCTGTGGTGTGCATTCAAGTCTTTCGGGCTTCATTGGCAGGATGTCTTTCGCGCTTTTGGCTTCAAGGCACTTAATTCGCAGGGCTGCTGTCTCAAGTTTTGTCTCAGCAAATGCCTGCAGAACTTTGGTGTGTACTTCAAACAACAAAGCGAAGTTGGGGACAGGTAACCTCTTTCTCCACCCGTAAATCGGGAAAAGTTATGTGTCAGTCGTGCTACTTTGTTTGGGGTGCTGCGTGCGATTTCTTGCATTTTTTCTAGAAGCACATTTAGTAACAAAAGCTGTTTTTATAAATGAGTTTCTCTGATTGCGTTGAATAATGCTGTTGCTGTCCATTTGGTAGCTCCCCAACCGGTTACGTCCGGTTTTCTTCCTTCTCATCATTGGACAATCGAACGTGTAGTTGCTCTCTCGATGCTTCCAATGTACCCTATCGCTATAATCTACGAGCCCTATCTCATGGACTACGTGGTATCCGCCGCCGTGTCTCTCCACGCTTACTGGTAGGTTTACTGTGAATTCACAAACATTAATGTTCATACACTAATTTACTTGCGTAGGGGCTTTGGTGGTGTCATTCGAGACTACGCTATCGAGCGTAAATACGGCCCTCTCGTACCTAAAGTCTTGCAGTTGCTCTGGAAGGCCATCTGCCTTTTTGGATTCGCTGGGTTCACCTACTTTAACTACTACGACATTGGTTTTATTAAGGGCGTCAAAAAAATTTGGTCTCTTTGAGCATGCAGTGCTTATAATGCCCGTGATGCCCTATTACCGGTCCTTGTTAATAGGTTTTCCCCGAAGATCAATTTCTTGTTTATGTAGTTGGCTTGCGTTCTGCCCCTTTCCGTAGGCTGTCCTTGACTGTTCCATCTCAACTTTTTTTCTGCATTAATAAAAACTGCCCAGTGTCATATCGTTGTTATTGTTTTAAAATCCTTCTCCATCGGGGTTACTTTCACAAGCTTGGATGCAGATCACTGTTTGGTCCCTTTCTAAAAAACGGAAAAGTGATTTAGACGGTGAAGGGAATGCCTCTGCAGGTCCTTTTGCTGCGGTGGTGGCTGTGGGGACAGTGCATTTCCACTTGTCGTAATTTGTGGAAATTATGCAATCACGAATGATATTTCGTTTCTTGACGTCTCGAGGGCGATGGACAAAGCTCCAACTTAAAAGCCCGGGGCTGAAGGCTGATTCCGACTTACCTGGTAAGATCATCACTTCATTCATTCGAGTGCGCAAGCGTAGGACGACCAGCTCATCTTCGGGATCGAGGTCTCGGACCACATGCTGTGTCATCGATCTCAACTCTTCAGCGTGTCGCGTGTACTGGAGTGAAGTGGAGTTGTCCATATTGGATCGAATCGGATTCCCCTCTGCGTTGACTAAAATTACGCCTTGCACGTTTCTATGGTTTTGAATTCTCTCGATACGTTGGAGCATGTCCAAATTTGCGTCGTTAGCCGGAATCATGGCTGGTGTTTTTGCTTGTACCTCGCTCGTGCCGAGCGCGAGCCGTCTCGCATATTTAAATGCTCGACTAATCGATAGCTCTTGAACGCAGGTAATCGATTAATTTGTTGATTTTCATAGCTTGGGGTCACTGAATTTTGTTATCTCTGATATACGCTGCCTTTTCGTTTTTCCAACTGGCAAATTGAGGATCTTAGTGAGGCTTAGGAACACTGCTTTGGTGAAATCGGTTCCCACGTTTTCATAGAACTCATTTCGGCTGTAAAGCTTGTTACCGGGTGAATTTGTATTGGTAGTTGCGCAACAGTCGCCCAATTCTCCTCTTCCTACGTTGTCTAGATTGGCCGTGAGCTGCTTGTGGTAGCCCTAATTCTTTGATTGGCAATAAGTTACGTAGCCAGTTCAGTGATAGCATAATTCTCCAAGTTTTTGTCAGACAAATGTGTGGGCCAGTTATAGAAAGGCCTTGAGAAGTCTCGCGTAATTTGCTCGGCCAATCTCGTGAAATGTCATATGTGATGAGGTCAGAAAACTGGGGTGGATGTGCTGATGGCGTATTAAGAGGCTGGTACCCAGTGGTGTGCATTTATTTAAATCCTATTTTATACCTGTTAATCAAGGAAATTGGGGGACTTTGAACGTAGTGTTCCCATTCCCCACACATTTCTGAAGTTGTAATATACCCAAAAAAATAATGAAACGTGTGGTTTGCCAAATGGCACTTTTGGAAGTCAGGTGACACGAAAGAGGGCGGAGTTAGATTGCATAACTCATCTGCGTAATATCAGTAAAGTGCTTGCATTTTGCCCTTTCGTAAGAGCTCAACACAGCCTCTCTCCACGGACTAATTTCGTGCTTCAAACAGCTGATTAACCAGGAAGTCGAAGTTGTTTGGGAATTAATGCAGCCTTAATAAAATTCATTCACTTTCGACACATTCCAGGTGGGCCAGTTACTTTGGTCTGTGTCTGTTATGGTAAGAATCAACACGTAAACGGTCCCACTGCAAACACCCACCTAAACATTCAGCGAGTTGCAGTCATGCGCTGGTTGTCTTCGTGCGTCCGCACATCGACTCTACATCCAACCATTCTCCATATGGACCACATACTATGACTTCCGGGTTCCACAGTTCTTGGAGTTTAAATGTTTCAGCGAGTTGTATCAGTCTCTGTTTCTGTGAAGTGGATGCAACCCAGTGCAACAGGCATCTTTTGCAGCTAACAGTTTCTCTGTAGGTAGTGGATCTTAATCTCTGCGACTGAAAGTGTGAGCTATACTGAATCCTTAACCAAACTGGTAAAAGTTATGATTCGTAGCTCACTTTTATGTTTACTAGAGCTACCACCACTGTAGCTGCAACACAACTCCAATCTTTTCCTGCCGAACGTGTCTACTTGCCTTTGGTCCCATTGTTGATGCGTTACCAACACCAATGTCTGGACGTCATGGTTGACCAGATTTCTGGAGTCCGTTTACTTATTTTCGAACATATATTTCCCATCAGCTTTAAGCACAAAATAATGCAGATGACGAAGTCTTCGAACCCTACTAGACTACCAATCCCGGTCCAGTATTTTCATAATTCGAACTTTAAGCATATCACACTGCCATGCAGTTTTTGTACTAGGAATCCAGCGATTCGAAATTCTGCAGCCTGATATCATGATCGTATTCATATTAGTCACTGCAGTCACAAACAAGCAACTTCAAGATCAACGGGCTTGCGAAATACACAAATTTTGGTGTACCTGCACGCAAAAAATATGGGTTCAAATAAATAACTTTAACGTTTTGGAACAAACCCGCTTCAATGCCACTATATTACGTTCACACGTTTGACCGGGCGGGGTCATCGTGCCTAGTTCAGGTGCGAAGCTCGTCAAACGCCACGTCTCTTTTAGCTCGTACAAGAACAACCTAAAAACCTTTCAATCATCTAAATATGCAAATTATCTCCTAAAAAAACACATTGCATTCATTACATTTATAAAGCAACTTTCGGATTGGAATTCAAAAAACTATGGGAAATGTCGAGTGCCGTACGAAGGACACGTTTTCGAAGGTTTTATCCTGAGTTCGGTTGCAAAATTCGAATCCTCTATCCTATCGAACCATTACTGACATCACTTGATCTTATCAGAACATATTCTTGGATTTCCCCTAAATATTAAGTATGCTACCTTAGTAATTAATTAAACATTGATAAAACGATATTCAACTCAAATAAGGTTATAAGCTAAATACTTTCTACTAAGTCATGGTGGATAACACCAGGTATTGCATATTCATTCTAGGATTTGTTGCCACTTAAAAATCCCCGTTTATCTGAGTTATTAAAATATTACAAGAACACAACTCCTCGCCCGTCTGTGAGGACTACGGTCTTAATGCGCATGCCAGTAAGCATTTGATTGAATGAGAGCTTTTAGATATAAAGGAGAGAAATTTGGAGTGATATTGGGCACTCAAAATAACATTTAGCATAGTGTACACATACATAGAGGCAGAAGAATGCGTAGAGTAAACTAAACAGAATGAATATTGATACATTTCTGTCCTACGCCAGGTATACCCATGAATGCGTACAAGTAGGTGAGCGAGCGTAATGGCACAGTAACCTAGTGAAGTAGAGGAAAGGTAAAATTAATAATATAAACAACTCATTGTACGCCAACACTTCGGTTCCCCCTCCCCTTAGTTGCAACCAATGTCCCTTCCAGAGAGCGCGTGCGTGAGCCGGTGTGACGCCGAGATGCTTGTTGAGTCCACCGTGGCCACCTTAGATTTGCGCATAGCCCCACAGGAGGAGCAAAATCGCGCCTTGGAGGGGAACTTTTTGCCGCATTTGGGGCAGTATCGTGATGTCTTCTTCTTGCTGCCGTCATCGCTTCCACAGTTACCCTGTGAGTAGTGGCTTTGGCTGCTGCCTCTACTACGCGGAGTACCCACCGGCTCCGGGTTCTTGCGGCGGTGGTGATGATGGCCACTCTTATGACAATTTCTAAAGGTGTCGTGGATTCAGATAATCTTAAGCGTACTAGGTCGCAATTGCCTAGTTTACCATTTAGATGAGCTTAGTGATGGTGTTTTTGGTACAGACAAATCCGTGGACATCAACGAAGATGGCAAAATGTTTGTCCAGAAATTACAAGAAGTAACCTTTTTACTAACATTTAGCTAGTAGAATTAGTAGTAGCAAAATTTAAAATAATGCGGTTATTCATTCTTATTTCGAGGTTTAGTTTATAATTCTTAAAAAAATGGTCTTTCTTCCAGATATCTAAATATTCTTCAATAGGTGTAACAAGTGACAAACTTAATTTAAAGAATATTGAAACAAAGTATGCCGCAAGATTCGGGGATTGGCATGTGTGTTTGCGTATGGGATAGAGGCAGGGTAGAGCTCACCTGAGAACCAGTGACTGGGAGTCGTAGGCGACGTCGCTATGTGCTGAACTGCGTGCGCTTGGCGTCCGCTGGTAGGGTGGCACACCAGCTGCTTCAATCTCCTGTACTGGCATCCGCGAGGGGAGGCTGCTCACGCCGCCCTCCCGCACCATCACCGTCGTGGCGTTACCCTCTCCATCCGTCTGATGAGGTATTTTCAGATGCAGAGGATACTTCTATCAACACCAATGGGCGCTCTCGTATTAGCTAGGTTATATGTCACCCTGTTTGCTACTCAACTACTACTCAGATAGCAAGACCTCTTTGGCGAAACAAGTAAAGTGACTAAACCCCATTTATCGGCAAACGGACTTTCAAATTGGTGTCAAATTATAAAAAATAAGAATCCCCGAGAGAAACCCTTTTAAAGACACGTAAATAAACGTCATAAGATAGATGAATAATACAAAAAACGGTGGTAACTAGTTGAAAAGAAATTCAGTTGACAAAATGAACGTATGGAAGCACTCTTTTTCCTTAAATAAAAATGAACAATACCCAACCTTTTGCGAAGTTTTCTGGTCCTGGGAGATGTCTGTACTAGTGGAATTGAACTTGTAAAACACTACACGCGAGTTTTGATCGCCGTCTGAAATCTTATGCGACTCTCTTCGCCTCATGCCATGCTTTTGATTGTGAGGGTAAGATTTATTCAGCTGTTCACTGTTTTCCAGCATCACCATGACTTCTGGTTTTTCGCACTTTCCCTTTCCACAACCGCTGGCGCCACCGAACCCTCCACTCCCTGTAACCCTCTCTTCTCGTTCAGTATACTCCCTTCGAGAAGTGTCTTCACCGTTCATGTCGTTCATGAAATTGTTGACGACTGTCGGTGGTGGCTTAATTGGTCTGTGGGAACCGGTGCGATGAGAAGAACTGACAGTGTTGGCAGGAGCGCTGGGAATAGAGGTCTTCCCATGAACTGTCACAGCATCAACTCGCTCGGCAGTCCCACTATTGGAGGGCTGAGGCTGCACCAGCTTCTCGTGCTGCTGCTTAGATCTCAATATGGCTAGGGACTTTTCAGTGTCGATGACTGCTGAAGGTGCAGCTGATGTCGACTCGAGGGAGGAGGCAGAAAAGAACGGAAGAGAAGTGGCTAAAAGATTTAAAAATCTAAAAGAACTTTCAAACCATCTTCAATACTAGATTCTACTTTTGATGATGGATAAATGGATTAAAAGGTCACGTCGTTTCTATGAGACATGCCCTAGCTACGACAAATACGTTCTAACTTTCTCCATGACTGTTGATGCCAATAATTTTCAATAAGGTATGCACATTTCCCCTAATTAGGGAGCAGACTTTTCGCCTATATTATTGCAGAATTCCGCAAAATTATTTTTAAAGTATTGCAGATAAAGTTGAAGGGAACTAACAACTGTCAGTGCCATTGACATGATTGCAGTTACTTATTTGCAGTGGTGCATTGGCAAGGAGGGCGGACAAGTTACGCTGAACAAGCTTGTTGAAAACGTTTGCTTGTAATAAGTCCGAGGAAAGTGTCTTAGAGAAGTCCACATTATGGCAGAGTTTAGTAGCCAATTTATTAAGTAATTCGGACTCCCGTGGAGAGATTGGTGCTTCATTGGCTGCGAAGGAGACCATTTCTTCAGAATCTGTTTTAGGAGGCTCGCCTACCCCTTTTTCTTCTTCCAATTTCCCTTCTGTCTTCATTTTACCCGTTAACTTAAGGTTGTACTATAAAGTAGGATTAGGTTATTGTGCGGTGTTAATCTGAAATGACCATAAGTTTCGCCTAAACGTATGTACAATTTTTCTAACAAATTGGATCTTGGGAGCTTTTAAAGAATCTAAAGGTTCTGAGAACTACAAATTTGCTCATAGATAGGTCAATTACCAGTGTCACCCATATCGAGGTAGAAACTATAGGCTTAATATAAGGCAACAAGCACACGAGATTGAACTAGCAACAATTACATACTGCAACACGTTATCCGCCTTAGCGATTCCAACACTTCCAACAACACTTTGATTAAAGGTAAAGAGTAAGAAGCTGCATGAATTATTAAGCGCTATTTTCTACAAAAGCGAACAAAATTATTCCAACTAGTACCTTCATTCTTTTAAGGAAGCGCAATTTGGCCTCCTTTTGTTCCTCGGTTTGGTCAGATTGTACGCTTGTTTGCTTGGCTTTGCACTGATCTTTGTGTTTCATAAAGGCTGCATCATTGAACCTTCGTCCACAACATTCGCACTGGGTCAAGCCTAAGGTGGAACGGTCCAACGCGTGAAATTGGAAATTCTACCGAATGGATGATATAGTTTTAAAACGGCAGGAGAATAGGATTCAAGATATGGTTTCAACGTTTGCGTTTTGGGCATCGCCACCAATGCTGACAGATCATTAGTAAAAAATAAATAATGAGCGATAAATCGTTACTTCAATTAGCGGCACCATCATGTTTTCCACTTTTAAAACATCACGAACCAGCATAACATATAAACTACATATCGATAAGCGAAACTACCCTTTACAACAGACACCATAAAATCATAATGAGTAGTTTCCTGTGCCCATACCTGCTTGAGCAACCTCTGGTGATAATGGCTCAACAAAGCCTGGAAATCCATCATGTTCCCTCTGCGTATTTGCCTTTGCCGTTTTAATTGTGTGAATGAATTCTTCATGTCTCATTCTCCACCTCATCCTACGCTCTGCGCCCAAAGCCAGCATGTCTGCAAACGTCTTTACTTTGATGTCGTACCCTGTGACGTGTTCCTTAATTTTCGGACTGGATGCATTTCCAGCTTTTTTGTCATTTGCAAAGTTCTCACGCATCCATTCCCTTTCACAGGCCGCCAAGTGCTTTTGCTGCAAAACAGAGTGTTTGACAAAAAACTGATATTTTTGGAGACAAAAATAAGAGGGTGCAATATACACAAAACAGGAGGATGTCCCCGCACTTCCAACTCAAAATTAGAAAAAAAAAACATTTAATATCTAATCAAAAAGTGGCATAGCAGTCTCTTGGCGTCAAAGTTACCGAAGAATAGCCAAAAATATAAAAAATATCAATTATAAGGCATCGAGATGTAAGGAGAAATAACAGACTTAAACGATGATAATTAACGAAAACAGAAAAAGCATACGAGTGATTGAGAGAAAAATCGGCGATTGCAGTATTGACATTTTTCTAAATTTAACCTATCCGGTGAAACTAAAAACGATGAATTTATATCATAAGGCTACCATATTCGGTCTCCAGAGTAAATGACATGACGTATTTGAGGCGGTGGGCTGTAGCTGACAACTGCAATATAGCTTGGTAAAACAGAAACTAATGATACAAACTGTAAAAAAATATTTCAAATTTGCCGCGAAGTCTAAATGCCGATGACAATTACCGCGATAAAGATATTAAAAACCGCCTTAAGCAAAAGGCGGCAATCAAGGTTTTTAAAGCGAGTTTATACAAGCCAAATCTTCAATCGTTGGAGTCACAAGCCATTATTATCAATTTTTAAGGTTTTATTATTCATTGTCTATACTGCATCTAGTAACCTTACTAGTCATTGTGTTTATCACTTGGCTACTCGTCAACGTTGCTAAAACAGGTTATTATAGTGTTGCAGGGCTCAAGACTTCCTTAAAGACTAAGGTGGTCATCATACTTGAGCAGAATATGTTCATACTGCAGCGCAGTCCTCGTTTATCTCCACTTCTCTGGTCCTCATACCCTCAGAACACTGTGTCTGATTGAAACTGGATATTTTTATTGCTTAACGTAAATGAGGTATGCGCAAGTATAGGGAGGCCTGAACAAAAGGCCATTCTATAGTTTGGGCGATGCTGAATGCTCGCCGATCACCAGGTTCAATTTTATATCCCGCTTCTTCTCTCAAAGGCGCGTTTTAATAGCACAAGTATTGTGTTTGATATATGGAAGGCAGTGGGCCTACTGACATGGACGAAGACCAGCCCACCGGGGGAAGATACGATGGCCGAGACACAAAATGATCCTTCACTAAAACCGAGAGTTAAACAACCATTGCATTGTAGTGTTAACCTTAGCCTTTACAATGCAAGGTAATTACTTTTCCATCTATTAGGTGGAACAAAATGTTTGCTTTAGCCATTTAGTACGACTAAACGAATCACATTCAGAGCGAAATGTGTTATCTAATCCCTTATAAAACAGCAAGTTTGCAAAATATCCATAATAATCTGTATACAGCGTTATTGACGGTTAAGTCTCTATGTGTTATATCGATTATACTAAACTGCGTTTATGCATATCAATTATTTTTGTCCAGCCAATAACTGCCCAACACATTTCCTTTACTCGACTTATTGGCGGCTGTTCGGTTGGTGTGTCATGTGGGGCCGTCATTGTTGTTTCTGCCTTTTCATTACAATTTATATCTCATGTACATTAATAAATGTATTTTGTGACGAGTCAGCCAGTGTTGAGGGATTGAATGATGTGAAGGCATCCACTGTAACTGTTTCGGAGTGAGTTACCTTGTTATGCTTATTTTTATCAGCTTAACTAATGAGTCCCTTAGAAAGCTCACTGAAAGGTCAGACGAGCACTTGTTTTCAGCAGAAGTCCCCAAAATGATGAAACTTATCATCAACTCAGTATATTCAAACAAGGAGGTAATGTTCAGCTACTTTTGGGTTTATTTACTTTCAGATTTTCCTACGTGAGTTAGTTTCGAATGCAGCCGATGCCGTTGAAAACATCCGCTTTCAGTCCATAACGAATGCCGATGTTCTCTCCTCTCTGTCTGACCTATCTATTATGATTAAAACTAACCAGCATGAAAAGACAATCTCAATAAGAGATACCGGAATCGGCATGACCAGAGACGAGTTAGTCAAGAACTTGGGCACAATTGCCAAGTCAGGGACTTCCGAATTGCTGTCAAAGCTATCTGAAGGAAATAGCTCTGCACCCACTGATCTAATTGGACAGTTTGGGGTTGGATTTTACTCAGCCTTCTTAGGTAAGGCTTCTATTCTAAGTTATCTGCATGTTCTCAGTCGCTGATCGTGTAACGGTTATTTCAAAGCACAATGATGACGACCAATATGTCTGGGAATCGGACTCTACTTCCTTCAAAATCGCAAAGGATCCCAGAGGCAATACACTAGGACGTGGTACTGAAGTGATTTTGCACGTGAAGGATGAAGCAAAGGAGTACCTTCAGCAGGACGTCTTGCGAAAGATTCTCAAAAAGTATAGCCAGTTTGTTATGTGTCCAATCAAGTTGTGGGAGAGCCGAACCGTAAACGTCGAGGAAGATGTCGAAGAGGAGAAGGTCGACTTGTCGGACGATATCTCGGTAGTTTATCGCTCTAACCAATAATTTGCTATATATACTCAGGTGGAAGAAGAAAAGCCCAAATCGAAGAAGACGGTAGAGAAGACGGTATGGGATTGGGTCCAACTGAATGATCTGAAACCTATTTGGACTAAAAAACCCTCAGAGGTAGCGGAGGAGAGCTACAAGGAGCTCTTCAAAGTATTGTCTCGTTCGAGTGAGAGTCCTCTGGCACATATTCACTTCTCCGCCGAGGGTGAAGTGTCATTCAATGCCATTTTATTCATTAGTCCAGTGCCTCGTCCTGACCTTTTCCAATCGGACAAGCTAATCACGGACAATATAAAGGTACGCTTACTCTTAATCCTTAACTGTGTTTAGTTATACGTTCGCAAAGTTTTTATCACCGAGAATGTAGACGAAATGCTCCCTCGCTATTTGAGTTTTGTTTATGGAATCGTTGATAGCGACAATCTCCCACTGAATGTCTCTCGTGAAATGCTGCAACAGCACAAACTCCTGAAGCTAATTAAGAAGAAGCTTGTTCGGAAAGTCATTGAAATGCTTCAAAAAATGTCGGATGAGGACTACGAAAAGTTCTGGAAAGCATATTCTGTTGCAATTAAGTTAGGAGTTCTGCAAGACGCACCCAACAAAGCTCGGTTGACAGAACTTTTGCGATTCTATACTTCAAAGTCAGAGGACAAATTAACTTCATTCAGCAACTACATTTCAAGAATGAAGGAAGGTCAAGAGCACATATTTTACGTTGCTGGCCAAAATATTGATGAGGTGAAGACTTCCCTTTTTGTGGAGCGCATCAAACGATTGGGTTTTGAGGTTATCTACTTCACTGAACCAATGGACGAATACGTAATGCAGTCTCTACACGAGGTGATGGGCAAAAAGACTCAGAATCTAGCTAAAGCGGGTCTTGATTTGAAACTCGACAAGGAGAAGTTTGAGGAGCAGGAAAAGTTGTTTAGGCCGTTGACTGATTGGCTGAAGGATAAGGGCTTGTCTGGTAAAATCAAGGATGCTAAAATTTCTCAGCGTCTTGAGAGCAGCCCATGTGCGCTGGTGGCTGATGAGTACATGGTGTCCGGTAACTTCCAAAAGGTGATCCTGGCCCAAGCCTACGCCACCTCCGATTCCGCTACCAACTCTTACTACCTCAACCAGAAGCATACACTGGAGATCAATCCGCGTCATCCTCTCATAAAGAAACTTAATGAACTCGTTCAGATCGATCCCGACGATGAAGTTGCCAAGGAGAATACACTTCTCCTGTTTGACACGGCTGTGCTTAGATCTGGTTACATCATGCAGGACCTAAGCGGTTTTGCTGAACGAATTGAGCGCGAGTTACGGAAAAACTTGGATGTGGATCCGGATGAACAAGTTGAACCTGATGAAAGTATTCCATCGGAAACGGACAGTGCTAACGTGACTGAGGTGAATATTCCATTTTAATGGTTGTCACAAATGATGCTTATGCTTTACAAAAGTCCTAATTGGAATATCTCAACCTAAAACGGCCACTTTTAGGTGTAGTTTTAGTTCCCCCAACTAGGTTTCAAATGTGTAATTTAACTGGTCATGAAATGTTGCAACATTTATCATGTACCCGCCTGGACTTACTGCTTTTAGCGGTTTGAGGAAATTCCTCAAAAATTACCTTATTTTCAGATGGAGTCAGCGGATGTGAAGGAAGAGTTGTAGAAGAACAGGGGATCCACCAGCATTTCTGTTTTATGTTGTTACTGTAAATTTACACCGGTAATTTATTTGTGCACTCTACAATACAAAACTAATTTAAAATAAAACTTCCCTTTTTCTTTAGTGACGCCTGATTTGACGGTGGGCAGGCTGCATCAGGTTTTTATCAAAGTAGGGCTGTTGTCCAGAAAGTACTCAGGAAAGCACCAAGCGTTGTGGTCGTGGTCTACTTTTCGGGATTCGAACCGTCTTATTTGCCGTGACGGTGAAACTAGAGGGGGATGCTCCTTTTTTCCTTCGAAGCACACTTCATTTGTGTCAGGATAGACAGCTAATTGATTGGCTTGTTGGCCACAGGTTTCAACCTAAGAGAGCGGCAATGCAACTAATTTCGCCTTGAATTTATTTCTGCTATCAAAACTGCATGTTAGTAAATGGACATGTAGCGGTGAGTGATGAACCTCCCAATACGTTTCCGTATCGGGTCCTACGAGCTCCGTGCACTCAGTCGCTCAAGCCCGACCCACTGTGGTGGGTACAAAGTGTCGTCGGAGTGTGTATCAAATATGGGCGGGGATGGATGTGTACAATGTTAACCAAAGTTCTCTTTTCGTAACACGGAAGAACTACGAGTGTCTGCCCAAGACTGCCTTCTGGATTTGTCTTCCAGCAGCAGTATACTAATGCCTTAATACTGAAGATTAAGTTAGTTATTTATAGAGGGGATTTGGATATGTTCAAGCAGTTTTAGCCTCATTTTTTTTGCAATTTTTACAGTCGTGACCTGGTAAAAAGAGTCACGAACAAGTAACAGTTGCCGATTTTAAAAATATAGATGGTGGGAATTTACAATTAAAAAAACGTTATCTAGTTAACAATACCACAAAAATTGCTGGCGTACTATGCCATGGACTTCCCCCAAAATTGGTAACAGCTTTCACCTCGACATGATGGTATGTTGGTATCTCCATGTCGCATTTGCTGACTTTTCGCCTCCTATTTTACCTATCACCCTGAGGCCTTAGCTGTCTACGGAAGCAAAAAAGCTTCCCATTTATCCTTTGCAAATCCTTAGGCTTACAGTATCCAGGATCTCCATTTTCGCTATTCAAGACGGTGTAAGTTATTTTGAACATTATTTTAAATAAGTTGTTTTGCACTTCCTAAAGCTTAGGATTCGATCGTTGACTATCTAACATTTAAAACAAGCCAGTTAATATTTCAAAATGGATATTATCTGCATCTTTTTTTTTGGAAAACGATGTTTCCAAAGCAAATTCCGGTCACTAAAAGGTATTTTTTTACCTAATCAATATTGATCATAGTGATGCTGATTTTGGTGTGTAATTGGTGCTTTGTCGTATTCCACGTAACGATTTCATTTTAGCATTGGTTCAGGTTTTGCGGCAGATTCATGGAAAATTTGATGTAACCAACTGTCTTTTCGTCACCTTGAAATGCTTGATTTCACCTACCAGAATGGTGTACCTATAACTCCGATCACTCCATTACAAACAAAAACAGCACTTCTGTTTGAAGCACTGGAACCCAATATCAAAATTTTGATGTCTTTTAAACACATCACCTAAAAAGGCAAAAGTCAAGAAGTCTAGAGTGGCCATAACTCTCAGTTACAGTTTCGCAGCGATTTATTTCCTTAGACTACTATTGTAGCGCCCCAAGACTTTTCTGAGGATAGGAGAAGTCACAATGCTGGGTCAGAGTATGCACTGCCGACGTGCAGAAGGGCTGGGGACTGCTGGCATGGCGCGGACGCTATGCTGCTCAGTGGAGATGCAAAGGCGGAGCCTCAAGTGCTCGCAAAACCCAAATGACTAACCATGGCATTACAGCCATCACTAAATTTGATTTTGTCGTTTATTTGTTCCAAATTTTTGCCGGTAACGCTGGTTATCAATTTGGATTAGAGACCCTAAGTCCCATTCCCTTGGTTCGAGTTGCAATGACTAGCGCGCATTTCACAGGATGCGATGCTTTAGCACGGTATTGCGAACTTAAATAGTAGAAACATGCGGCGCGAGTCGGCTTTGGCCGTATACGTAAATAGGATCAGTGTAGGTGATTAACCCTTGGAAATATTTTCCATCTACAGTGATGGTGCCCATTCCATGTTCGGAATGTTCTTTCTTGAAGTAACAAACCAATCCCAACTCTAAATGAGTCGCTTCTTTTGGAATATTACATTTAGTATTTTTTAAATGACCAAAGTTTATAATATTTTTGGCTGCAATATGTCAGGAGTACTCACGAAAACCAGCATAAGATTGAACATTTTAGGTTTACACAATTAAATGATAAAAAAGAGCTTCAAGTCGGAATAAGTAAAGGCGTAAATCCACATTTATTCTCATCTGTCTTATGTGGATGCAATCGCAGATTACTTTATGCATAGAAGAAATCACCATTCTAGAATCATACATAAAATTATAAAATAATTAGTCGTGAAGTCGAGTTTTAGTAACTTGTACCATTTGGTAAATAACTACTAAAAGTAAGTGTTAAAATTAGAGTGAATTTAGATTATTTGGAAAAGTGCTTCACTATAATATTGCTGATAAGGACTAGCGCATTTTACAAGAGAACTAATAATATTAATCACTATTTTATTTATCCTTTGCAAGGCTAAAATTCTCGATCACCTATATTACTATTAAACTTCAGTAGCGCCATGTTTTCTATTTATATAAACTAGCTTTTTACCATATTATTTAAGAAAAAAGCCTAGTACGACGGTTGCACACAAATGAACTCGCTCGTGTGTATTCGTGTAACGCGAACAATGTAGCCAAGGGCAGTGAATTTATTACTTATTCGGGAACAGCCATCGAAAGCCAGCACCCCCAATACCGATCGACAAGTGGTAAAGTACTTAAAACAGTGTTTGAATGGCTAATTTGCGCAAAAAACACATTTTTAGAAATTGACTTACATACTGTTTGTTACTCATGCCTTCATGATCCTGTACTTTAAGGCTTCGCCACCACTGAACCTATTCAATTTTGTTAAGGTCTTAAGCAAACTTTTAGTATATTCATATCCTCACATGGGAAATCGACTAACGAGGCAATTCCTGGATTGCTACCTTTTTTGCCTAAGGCATAAAAACGTTCAACTTCTGCACCATTAAAGCTCGAGATCATATTATATTGATAATTTAACAGTAGGAATTATTTTTTATTTATATATGCACTTAAAGCACAAATATATTGTAATGCAATAACAGGTAAAAACAGTTAAACAGCTTAACTATACGAGGTCATTCAAAACAAATTTTCTTTATTAGGTTTTACTACATATTGTGAATAATCAAAAAATGAAACGTATCTAAAACTTTATTATGAAAAATCAAAAAAGGAAAAATACGGAAGAAGTTGGTGATCTCGACAATGCGAGAAGTAGTTTGAACTTGTACTAGCGCTTGAAGATAAAGATCATGGAAGTAAAAAAGACTTCGGTAACATTTATCAGTGTAGTCGCGCTGTTACAGTCAAGGCACAGTCCATTAATCTAGCGTTGTCCTAAGCATATAAAATTACAGGTCAAGTGATTGTACATGCATACATTGCTGGTCTAAACAATCATCTGAGGCATTTCGAATTGCAGAAAATGTAAAATATCACTAGCTAGAATAAACGGTCATCTCACTTGTAAGTAATCTTGCATCTCCAGGGTAGGAAGATGGTAATTATTTGCTTAATCGTGGACCTATAGGCAGCAGGTGTTCCATTTAGCCTAGCTAAAATTTGTTTAAGATATTTTATTCGAAGTACTCCCCTCGGGCCATTCACCTTAATAGTTGTCAGTTGCTTTGAAACGCCTTTTAACTGCTTTTGCTATACATTCTACAAATTGAAATAGCCACTAAAATATAGCATCCAAGCAATTGTATGGCAAGGAAACAAGCAGGTGTGTATGTAGATTAGTTCGTAGAGAATAGTATGTTAGAGATAAGGAACAATCCAGCTAGGGTTGCTACTATATAATATATCAAGATGACCTTTTAGGGGTACCTTTAAGTGGAGTCTCCAAATCACATCCGTTGAGTCCTTGGAACAAGTAATGGAACTGCGGAAGAGAAAAATCAAGGTAGTGGATCGGCCTAGATACTAATAGTTTTTTTTCGAGTAGGTTACCAGTAAATTTCTTGCACAATCATCTTATGAAAAATTTGAAAATAATTAATTTCCCAATTTTTTTTAAAGTTCCGACGAACAGTCTCCACTGAGCAAATTTGTAGCCCTAAACTGTGAATTTTACCGAAACATTTTTAGCGTGAAATGTCTAAAAGGCTCGTTTTGTTAAAATTTACCTATACCATGTGCTCTCAATGTCTTTCAACGCTACCTAATGAAACATGCCCTCGCTCAACTCGTTCGCATGTTCCAAAGGTATGAAGGCTGAAGTGAGAGAGGGAAACACCGAGCCTCTTGCAACTGTAACAGGCAAAAGTACACTGCTGGTCAAACAAATGGATATATTTGCCACTGTATTCCGTGCTAGTTGGAACAGGTAATCGTAGAAGATCTCAGGTTTCCTGATTTTCGTTCAAGTAGGAGGTAATGTCGAGTAAACAATTTTAAGAGCACCGAACTCCTTGTAGAGTTTTAACTGCCTCAAGATAGAGAAGATCTGAAAGAGATGCATCATTATATCGTGAAGGTGTTCGCTGCCCCTTCGAATTTTTTCCATACATCATGCGTTTAGTAAAATACGCTTTTGCTAGCTGATGCTAAATTTCGGACAGTGAATGATTCGCCTCGCATTTGTCGTGTGCATTTCTAAGACTTCAGGCAAACATCCATGAAATTTGTATTCCCAAGTGAAAGCTTAATACTGAATTAAAGTTTTTCAGTTACTATTTGATGAGGGGTATCACAAGACTTTTGGGGAAAATGTCATTTTAAGGAAAAAAATTGCCAGGTACCTTGACTACGAGAAGTTCATTGGAACAAAGTAGCAGTAATGCTAAATCAATTAGTGTT